CTACTGACCAGGACTAGAGATATGATAGACCTATTGTACCCTGATTGGGTCTGACTATATCTGGAATATTATATTCAGTTATGGGAGACACATTTTTGGAAAGACACTGATGAGCTAGTGAGTATCCAAGGGAAATCACGTCATATGAAAATGGATTGAAGTTAGTAGGGTTATGGTTAGGGAACAGAAGACTTGGGGATGACATGATTGTTGTCTTGTAACTAAAGGGATGTTGAAGGTATTGGGATTAGACTTGTCCTGCTTGGACCCACAGGGAAGAGCTAGGAGAGGAAATTGCAGAGACGCAGACAGCTTAATTTAAGGAAAAATTTCCTAACTATTAGAGTTACTGAAGAAAGGAAGTGGCGGATGTTTTTCAAAGAAAAGTTTGATGTATGTTGTTGAATTGTTTTTAGGTATGTTGTAGAGAGAATTCTTCGTCAGATATGGCTTGAGATAAATGGTCTCTGACTGAGCTCTGTTCCAACTGTGACATTCTGTGATCAACAGCTTCCCCTTATTCACAGTAATGTTCAGGATCCGGGAACTGGCTTTGTATAATCCCCATGTTGCCTGGAGTTTCAACTTCTCACTTTTTCTTCAACATTGTTCCTGGACAAGGATTTGTAGAAGAGATTGATCTGCCCACTCCTCATCCACTGGGAGTTCCAGTATCCGGTATATTATGAATGAGTGAAAAGCATTTATTTAGTGCCTACGACATGCAAAGCACTACACTAAACACTGGAGATAAAAACAGAAAAGTGATAGTACCTTCTCTCAAGGAGCTCACATTCTAATAAGGGTGGACAGCACATATAGGCTTCAGCTGAACTGTAGGTGAAGGGTCCAGTGGTCCTTAGGGTACAGTGTCAAGGAAGACAGTTATGATCTTGGTATCTTTCCGTGATAAAACCATATCCATTTCTGATGTTGAATCATTTGGCAGTGCCAAGAACTCTGCAAGCAAAAATTTTCTGAGTCTTCACAACTAAAGGCTGCTAGTGATCTCTTAATTACTAAATACAATAACTTTTCTCCATAATCACACCTTTTGGCCTCCTTATAGCCACTCTCTGCTTCTGGACAGGCTTTCGAATTCCCTGGGTTTTCACAAAGCTACACTTCAGGTTCTCCTCCTATTTAACTACTTCTTCTCAATGTCTTTTGTTAGATCTTCATCCATATCCTGCCCTCCAAACATGGGTATGCCCTAGGGTTCTACCCTGAGTTCTATAATTCTCTCTTTTACATCCTCCCAGTGGTTCATCTCTTCAGATCCTGGGAGTTCAATTATTATCTCTCTGTAAATGACTCCCAAATCTATATATATACATCCTTCATCCCTCTCCTGAGCTCCAGTTTTGCATCACCAACTGCCTATTAAACATCTCCATCTACATGTCCCATAGGTTATCTCAAACTCAATGTATACAAAATGGAACTCATTGTCTTTCCTCTAAATATAACCCTCCTCCTAACTTCCCTATTCCTGTCAATATTAAGTTATTCACATTCACAGTCTCCTATCCTTGACTCTTCATTCTCTTACTACCCATTCCATTTCCCATAGTAACCAGCTACCAAGTCTTGTTCACTCTTTCTTCACAAAACTGTAACCATCCCCTTCTCTCCACTCACATTACCATTGCCCTATTTCAGGGCCTCATAACTTCTCCTATAGATTATTATAATAGCCTCTTAATTGCCTTAGATTTCTCCTCATTCAAATAGATCCTAAGAGAGTTGCTAAAATAATCTTCCTAAAGCACATACATAACCACATCATTATCCTGGTCTAGAAGCTTCAGTGGCACCCTATTACCTCTAGAATAAAATATAAAACTCCTCTTTTTGACATTTAAAATGCATCTTTCCAGATTTGTCTCACATTATTATCACTGCAGCTATTCCTTGGATAGGGCATTTAATCACCAAGATCTGTGTCAGTGGTCACCCATACTTCTCCCTCCTCACCTCTGACTCTCGGAATACCTACCTCTGTTCAAGGTTCATTTCTGGTGTAACCAGCTACACAAGGCCTTTTTGATCTCCCTAGCTGTAAGTCATTGCCCCCCCCCCCCATCAACATCCTTCCAGCTTGGTAGAATCTGTCAGGATTTGCTAGCAGGGCTTCAAAGGGCCTCAAGGGCTCAAAGTCACATCCATGCTAGGATGAAGAATCAGAAAACTTTAGTGGATCCATTCTGTCCAGGCTTCCCACAATGTCCCCTTTCTCAAAAACTGTGATTTCCACCTCAGGTTTTTCCTAGCCACCACTGCATGCACCAATGTCCATATGGCACAAACTTCTCTGGGGGAAACTGGAAGCTACCTAAACTGATTTATAGACTATAGAGGGTAAGCAACAAAAGCAAACCATGAATACTTAACAACTGCTGCCAGACTTCAAAGGAATCCTTATATAGTGGGCTGTCCACTTCAAGTCTCTGCTTCAACTCTCAAGAAAGATGGATGCTTCACCTTCTGTCTAGTTACCAATCACACAGAGATTAAGTTCCATGCTTTCAGCTATAACTTCCCAAATCACTGAAAATCCATTCTCTATTCTATTGGTCACTACAAAGTAAAGTTTACCCAGAACTCAAGTTTCAGTCACAATAACCACCAACCTTTTCTGGTTCTCTTATAGCACTGGGCCAGTTTAATTGGTTAATATCAGTCAATTAAGAAAGCAGTAAACAAGAAGACTAGGTTTAGGAGCCATCAACAGTCTCCAAGCCTAATGTTGGCTGCAGAATTCAGCCAACAATCCTTTGCTCCACAGCCCAGGTAGGCCCCTTGGAAGACAGAATGACACACAAGTTTTGTTAGCTAGCTCCTTTTTTTTCATCTCACCTGGGGATGTAGACGCAAAAAGCACTTCTTTTTGTTGTTGTTCAGTTGTTTAAGTTGTGTCTGACTCTTTGTGACCTCATGTTGAGGTTTCTTGGCAATGATACTGGAGTGGTTTGCCATTTCCTTCTCCAGCTCATTTTACAGATGAGGAAACTGAGGCAAACAGAGTCAAGTGACTTGCCCAGGGTCACACAGCTAGTGTCTGAGGGCAGATTTAACTCAGGCCTTCCTGATTCTTCCTATCCACTGCACCACCTAGCTGCCCTAAAGCACATTTCTTGTACTATAATCCATCTGTCCAAGATTATCTACATCCTGACCTACTTCTGTAGCCATGTTTCCTGTATTGTCATATTTATTGTTTTACTTTATTTTGACTCAGTTTTGATTCATGACTCTATTCTCCTAACTGCTCCTATGATTTTTCATTCCACTTTGCATCTGCTGTTCTTCCTGGTTTCAACTCCACAGAATAAGATGCTCCTCCCAGGATAAGCTCATCACTTCTAAACTCACCTCCACCTTACTAACTCAAGCGTTGATTGACAGCACCTCCTTCAGCCTCTTCTCCCCTGACTGGAGGGCAGGAGGGCAGAACACAAAACTCTCCCCAGTGCCTTCCTTTATAGTCGGCAGAAATTGGACTCTCTGCACTTTGCATCTGCTGCTCTCCCTGGTTTCAACTCCATGGAAGAAGATACACTCTGGTCTTCCCCACTCCTTTGCTGTCTCTTTTTGTCTGTTGTCACCCCCTCTACCCATTAGATTGTAAGTTCCTTGAGGGAAGAGACTGTCTTTCCTTTTCTCAATTGTATCCCCAGGGTTTACAAAGCAGGTGCTTAATAAATGATTATCGGACCGGATTAAATTTCAGCACATGGATAGCCTATCCATTCCTTGATCATTGCAGTAACCACAGATCCAACTTAAATTAGATGTCTCACAGAATTTCCTCAGTGACCCAAAGTTCCTGCCACTACCCCAGCTCTAACACCAGCTACAATGGATAACTACTCATCCTCACCCTGCCTAAAGGTAAAGAACTCAGATCTAGTTGGCACCAAGAGAGACAAAGGAAGTCTCAATAGGTCCTAATAGAAGTGCTGGAGGTAAACTTCGTTTGTCACCACCTTGTTAGAGTTGCAGCCTCCTCAAATGAGCTAGAATTTACTTATTTGCTAGTGTGGAACACTTCCCTGTAAAATGCAAGCTTCTGAAGGTTAGAGGTTGTTTGTTTGTTCTCTTTTGTTTTGCATCATTAGTGATATTTTTATCACTACCTTTTAAAATAACAACTGATGATCTAACAATTTAGAATGGTCCTTTCTATATTGGGAAATAATATAACTTTCATTTTCTTGTCCCGTGTGCAATTAGTTTTTTTTTTAATAAACTGAAAGGGTCCCTATATATATAATGAAAAGAACAACAGAGTCAGCCAGTGAAAATGGAGATTATACGGATGAAAAACAAGACTGCATGCACCCAAGGATGCTTCTTCCCTGCCTTGGTGCCCTTCCACAGACTGACCCCACCAGGCCTGGGGAGGAAGCACCCCCTCATCTTCGCTTCTCAGAATCTGTATCTCCTTTCACAGATTAGTCCAGGAGCCCCAGCCTCAGTGAACAGGAGTCTTCATTTTACTCTCCCACTTATCTGAGCTACGCCTTCTCAAATTAGTTGGAATTTCCCCGTGAGTGTGGGCTACTTCCTAGTTAAATGCAAGCTTCTGAAGGCCAGGGGCAATTTGGTTTTGGTTTGTTTGTTTTGTAACCATAGCGCTCAGCATCTAATAATTAATATTTAAGGAATTGAAAATGTTTTTAATGGATTGATTAATGTTCGAAGCTCTTCAAATGTTCTTACATGATTAACCTCTTAAGCATTTAATCACAGCAACCCATCAAGAAGAAATGTACTGCCTGGGCTGCAGCACTATTCCAGGAGCAAAACCACTGCCCAGGGCCCAAGCCGAGAAGTCAGGCCAGGACCTAAGTCCTGCCCATGGCAGGAAGCGGTCCACTCCCATTCTTACCTAAAGGCCATTTTAGGAAAAGGGAGAAGGGGCAGGAGGAGGTGAAGGGCAAGCACAACAAATCACTGCACTGGACACATTTTTACGTGCCTTTTAAAATACTTACCTTATAAATCCAGCTGAAATAAATTTACTGACTACTTCTACTGAAATGGTATTTAGCTTATAGTTCCATGATCCTTCAGGGACATAAAAAACATGAAGCTCCACCAACTGAATAAATTGAGAAGAGTTTGTCAGATAAGGGTATTTTAAGCATTGAAATAACACTTGAAATTACATTGAAATAAAACAAGTATCAATGTTAAAGAATTGAGATTTTAATCAAAAGATCTGACATAAATATGTAATTTTCTAAACACGTACATCCCTTAAGCTAAATGGAAACAAAAAAATGAAAAACTTTATAAAAGTGTCTTTCACATTGTAAAGTGTTTTAACTACATACAGTAAAGACAATCTCCAACTCTCAAATGGGGCATACTACAAAGATTCATTAAGTTTCTTGTTTCAGAAATTGGACCACGTTTATTCAAATTAGCAATGTTACAAACAGTGGTTAGGCTTACATATCTACACATGACAGTTGATTTAACCCAAACAGTAGTTGAAATGGTACTATACTTTGGCTATGTTATGAGTTGAAAAATCTCTAGAGTGAGGGTAGTTTCACTCTGGATTTGTGGACTCTCAAGGGGTGCATGACTAGATTTCAGAGGGCTTGTAAATTAAAAAATAATATCTTGATAACTGTATTTCCATATGATCAGTTTCCTATGTAATCCTATGTATTTCCTTTTATGTACTTAGAAACATTAATCTGAGAAGTTCATGGGCTCTACCAGATTACCAAAGGGGTCCAGGACACACAAAAAAAGGTTAAGAAGAGGGCTGAATTGGGCTGGAAATTTAAGCAACATTTATGACATTGTTTCTATGGGCAAATGGGTTTCCTGAACTGAAAGGACTGATAAATGTTCTTTCTTTACCTTTAATCATTCAAAAAGAAAAGAAAATTTAATATTTCCATAAGCCTATGTCACCCTTGGTTTTGAATATGTGGAAAGAGTACACAGGAAAAGGGCCTAAAAGTACATTTGAGGAAAGGGTCATACAGAAAAAAGGGTCTCAAAAGTATCTTAAGGGACAATTCTTGCTTTCCAGGGCATTTGAGGGAGCCCACTTTCATCCTCAGAACTACAAATGGGGGTGTTTAAAAGTTAGGTGGTGCCTCTTCATACTGCTCCTTATACCTGTATTTCTTTTGGTGTTTATTATGACATCATATACATACATACATATATATATATATACATATATTGTTATGACATACTATATATGACTATAGTATGCTATCCAGCTAATAGATATTAAAATTACTACAAAGCAATTATTCTTTTTTTCAATTTATGTATTCATTTTTAGTTTTCAACATTCACTTCCACAAGATTTTGAGTTCCAAATTTTCTCCCCATCTTTCCCCTCCCTCTACTGCATGATGGCATTCATTCTGACTACCCCTTCCCCCAATCTGCCCTCCCTTTTACCACCATCCCCCTTCTCTTATTCTCTTCCCCTTCTGTTTTCCTGTAGGCTAAGACAGATTTCTATGCTTCATTGCCTATGTATCTTATTTCCTAAAAAAAAAATTATTCTTAAAAAACGCAAGTCTAATAATAAGATTGTCATATGTTGAAAACCAAAACATTTTTAAAAATTATTATCTAAGTACTAACACTTCTCAAACCCTTAAAATTTTGATTTGCATATAATTTAATATTTTTCTAATGGTATTTATTAATGTTGTCCATGAGATAAAACCATGCTAAATGAAATAAATGTGACACAAATAGTACTTCTAAATTAAATTGCTTTAATACTTTTGATGACATGCTGTGGCCAAATTCTAAATAAGTGTGTGTGCCTTATTAGTTACAGTATGTTCTATAAATAAATGGATAACCACTACCAAGAAACTATAGTTAATTCATATATCTTTGTGGCCCAGAAGCAATTTTATAATATAAATGAATATAAAATTTTCAGTGATAAGTTATCACAGACTCTATTTACATAATTTGTACTTGTATTTCATAACTTTTTTTTTAATGTCAACAAGCAATTTTTTTTTAAGGCAACTGGGGTTAAGTGACTTGCCCAAGGTCACACAGCTAGTAAGTGTCAACTGTTTAGTCTGAGGCTGCATTTGACCTCCAGTCCTCCTGACTTCAGGGCCAGTGATCTATCCGCTGAGCCAGCTAGCTGCCCCAACAAGAAGGTTTTAAAGGTTTTTCATACAAAAAGAATTGTTTACCTCTGATGAAGAAGGTCGACTGGGATTGAATGATGTATTCATTGATGCCTGAGTAAGGTAATAATTACTTCTGATTGCTATTTGGTGGTCTTCTTTTTCTATTAAGCATTACTTAATGATAGGGGTCATAATATAGATCCTTTAGGTGACTCAATGATAGCATTCCATTCATCTTTTATCTTCAAGTCATGTAAATGCCTGCTAAGAAGGAAAAAAAATGTAAGAAATGATAAATAAGACAAAACAGAGAAGCATGGAAAGGCTTACAGGAACTGATACAAAGTAGAGCCAAGAAACCATACACACAATAATTACAGCAATGTAAATGTTTCCAACAACAACCACAGAACAATCAAAAATGAGTGCTGCAAAATCAGAAAAAGCCAGCTTGATCCCAAAGAAGAAATATAAGAAGACACCCATCCCCCATTACTTTTCAGAGGTTGGAGGTGAGGCTTACAAGTCGGGGAACATTGCATATGTTGTCATTTTTTTAATATATAGACCAATTTTGCTGATTTTTCTCTTCCTCTTTTTTTCTTTAATTTCTTTTTTTTTTTTATATGGGAGGACTCTATGGAACAGGTAAGTGGGAAAGATATAGAGGGAATTTAAAACAAAAGATATTAATAAACTTATTTTAAAATAAAACTTTGAGAAAATGATTTTAAAGTTGGTTTAAAACTAGAACTTTAGAATGCAGAAAAATAATCTATACTAAATGAAAAGTACCCAGTGAGCAGAGCTGTCAATTCATACGAAGGAAAACCATGTTCTTTACAATTATTGCCAAATGATCTAATAAATTTCTTTATTAGGGCATGATCAAGAACTGATTTAATATTCAGAGTAATTCATCTCCCATTTTTCATCAAATGAAAATGTGTGATATTTTACCTAAAATAGATTTTGTTAGTTATCTGCGCAAACTTAAATTTTCCACTATCTGGAATGATATTATCAGAATCTCAACACGTGGATTTCTCTCCAGGCACAGATCTACAAAAAAGAATGAACGTTTCAGATGAGACTAACCGCCCTGAATTTTGTCAGGATATGAGATCCCCATTAATTTATGTTTAAAGCTAAGTGATAATTTGTTATCCATGAAGGAAGTTACCAAAGAGCACTACAATCAGGTAGTTTCTTACTGATGATAAAGGAACCACATGGATGATTCTAAGTTCTGTTACATACTTTGAACTGCTTGTATAACATCAGAAAAGTTATTTAAGTTCTACATAAATTAATAGTGCTACAACCCTAGAGCAGGGTACGACTTTAAGAATTCCATTTTAAGGATAGTAGTGATTGATTAATTTCTTGGGGTATTATACAAACTCCTGAACTTGTCTAGTTTGATATGACATAAATCATTGTGTGAATCAAATCAAATCTTCCTATGTTAAAGTTCAAAATGCAATCATTTGAAAATGACAAATGTTGGAAAAGTTACAGGAAAATAGGTACTATAAATTCGTACAGCCTTTCTGGAAAGCAGTTAGAGAAAGTTCAGGTATATTCTACATAGTATATACTCATGAAGGAAGTGACAAACATTGTTCCGGCCTACTTTGTGGAGTTAGCTTAACCGTATGCACTGTATGGAAAACTTAATCCAGAGGCTCTTAACTTTTTTGTGTGTCATGGATCCCCCAAACCCTTTGGCAATCTGTTGAAAACTATGATCCCCTTCTCAGAATAATGTTTTTAAATACATAAAATAAAATATACTGGATGGCAAAGAAAATCAATCATATTGAAATAAAGGTCTACACCTTTATTTCACCCAAGCTTATGGGCTCCTTGAAATTTATCTACTGCAGACTGTGTTTAAAAACCTATGACACACAGACTAAGGGGGTGGTAAACTATAACCATGAGGCCAAATCTAGCCAGCTGCTTGTTTTTGTACACCCGCAAATAAAAATGGTTTTTACAAAGTTTTATTGTGTTTAAAAATGTAAAAACAAAACAAAACAAAACATTCTTTGGATAGAGCACTGGCCCTGGAGTCAGGAGGACCTGAGTTCAAATTGGCCTCAGACACATAACACTTACTAGCTGGGTGACTCAGGACAAGTCACTTAACCCCAACTGACCATCAAACAAACAAACAAAAAACCATTCTTAGCTCAAAGGGGAAACAAAAACAGGCTTAAGGCTGGCTCTGGATGTTAGGCTGTAGTTTGGCAACTCTGACACAAACCAAGAGTATATGCATTTGTTTACATAATGGGCCACATAATCAGAAATACACATGTATGAGCTACGTGAACTTAGATTTCAGGATTTTATGAAAGAACATACTTTCTTAACAAAAAGTTAGGGGGGTCGAAACATTGCCCAGAGTTTGACCACTTAGACGTTTTAGCTGGTTAAGTGTGCTAGCTAATCTCCAAGATAAACATTTCAGACCCACATGTTAAACCAACTACTCTCATTTTACAGATGAAGAAACTGAGGACCACACAGGTGAAATGACCTGCTCTAGGTTGTGGTCTTTTTTTTCCATGTATAAAGTTAAGGAAGTTGGGTTAGATGACCTCTAATGTCCCTTCTTGCTCTGAAGGCCCAGGAGGTCCTGACATCTGAAAGCTCAGGAGGTCAGTTGGTAGTTGTACATTGGCTAAAGTATTGGGCCTGGATTTGAATTTGGCCTCCACCACCTTACTGTCTGGGCCTCATTAAATTCAAGTTTCTTCGCCTTTGTACTTACTGTCCCCAACTTCCAGAATGTTCTACTCCCCCACTTCCAACTCTTGTATTTCCCGACTTCCTTCATGACTCAGCTCAAACCCCGCTTACTCCAGGAAGCTTCCGGACCCTCCTCCCCAGCTGCCAAAGCCTTCCCCTCTCGAAGTCTCTTTCATATACTCTGTACATATCTTGTATCTACCTAGTGGTTTCAAAGGGGAGTTGGAGAGAAGGGTTCTTCTGTGATTTTCCATATTCCCAGCACTGAGCACAATACTTGGCACACAGCCTAAGCTTAATAAAAACTTGTTGATAACTTGACTTGGCCTCTGCCATTTACTCTCTAGGCCTCAGTTTCCTCATATGGACAATGAGAAAAGAGGACTGGATGAGAGTTGTCAAACACATAGGCCACACCACTCCCAGATTAAAAATGTAACTGGGAAATACTTAGCAAAATAGAAATACAAGAAAACATACATGCTGTTAATAGGTGGTTTTCTAAGCCAACAGACAGTTTTGGGATCCTTACTAATGATTTCGTTCTATTTGAGTTTGATGCCACTGGCCTAGATGACTCTTTGGGACCCGTCTTCCTCCTGAGGGAGTTGGGGGTGGGAGAAGTAAGGGGAAGCCAGTGGGGTAGAGTGGGAAAAGTAGTGGCTTTGTTTTCAGTGGACCTGGGTTTGAATCTGCCCTCTAACACTTCATTCTGGATGTCAGTATCCTTTTGTGAAAAAAAAAGAGTAATGACCACTCCATCCTGTGCCTCGGTTTCCTCTGGTGTCTAAGGGGGTACTGAAGTAATGATCACTCTGCCCCCTGCCTCAGTTTCCTCTGGTGTCTAAGGGGGTGCTGAGGTAATGACTACTCCGTCCCGTGCCTCAGTTTCCTCTGGTGTCTAAGGGGGTGCCGAGGTAATGACTACTCCGTCCCGTGCCTCAGTTTCCTCTTCTGTCTAAGGGGGTGCTGGGGTAAGGACCACTTAGTCCCCCCCAGCCTCAGTTTCCCCCAGTAAGAAGGGGCTGCCTGGCGGCCTCCCAGGTGCCCGCCCCCCGCCGTGCTAGAGTCGGGGATCCCCTCAGTCCGTCGGACGGGCGTCCTCCACGCCCCCCTGGGGCCGGTCTCCTGGGGGAGGGGGTCCTCGTCCGGGGTCGGGGTCCGCCCGGGCTCTTACCGCTCCCCTCCCTCCGCTCGCTCGCTCTCTCGGAAGGAAGGCGCAGTGGAGGAAGGGGAGGGGGTTGGGGCGTCGAACCGGTCGCGCACACGCGCGCGCGCTCCCGAGGCGCGCCCAGCCCCACCGTCCGCCCGCGGCCCCTAGCGCGCACCCGGCGAGGCGCGCGCCGTAGCTCCGGGAGCCTGGGAGGTGGAGGGGGGGGCTTGCTGCAGAACAAGAGGGGCGGGGTGGAGGCGATTCCTGGAGGGGCGGGAGCGGGTGTAGGACCTGGCGCATGCGCGCTGCGAGGGTGGCGGTACTTGGCGGAGCACCGGAAACTTAGAAACAAAGTTCCGAGTAGCACCGCCCCCTCCCCCGACGCCCCCCTCCCCGCGCCTGTCCCCCCGCCCGGCGCGCACACCCTCGGGTACTTATAGGCACCACACGCCCGGCGCGCCGCCAGACTCAGCTAGCCAGGGAGCGAGCGGACGTCTGCCCGACCACCCACCACCCACCACCCAACCACCGACCACCGACCACCGACCGCGGAGCCCGGCTCCTTGCGCCATGTCCAGCAGCTCCAACGTCGTCGCCATGAGGAAGGTGGTGCAGCAGCTCCGGCTCGAGGCCGGGCTCCACCGCGTGAAGGTGAGCCCCCTCCCCAAATACCCACTGCAGCCCCGGGAGGGGCTCGCACTCCGAATCCCGAGACCTCATCCCTCCGGAGACCCCATCCCTCCAAAGATCCTAGCCCCGCAAAGACCCCAGACCCAGAGACCCCAAACCGCGATATCCCAGCCCCTCAAAGACCCCAGCCCCCCGACTGGCCCCTGCCACACTTGGGTTAACAAGTGTCTGGGGCGCCTCCGAATTTCCCCGGGGGAGGGAGGGGACTCTTCCCTAGACACCCGACTCTTTGTCATTCTGGGGACCCTCTCCCTCGCCAGTCCCCCCGAACCCCGGACTTGGGAGTTGCTGCCCCAAGTGACACCCGGGTAGAGTGGGTGGGGGGGGACGGGGACAAAGACACTTCAGTGATTTCTTGAGCCGTGCCCCGCACTCTTTTTGTTTCTGTCTCAGGTTCCAGTCTCAGATTCCCATGTGCTGCCCTGTACCATGTCGCTTTCCCCTTCTTTTCCTTGACCCGCCCCTTCTCTGCCTCCCCCTACCCCGACAAACGTCTGTCCCCTAAAAGAAACCTATTCCGAGCCTCCTCTCCTGTCCCGTTTCTAATTGGGTTCAGCATTTATATCCTCCTCAGGTCTTAAGTTCTTCCGTCTCCTGAGAACAGGAAGAAAAACTTGAGCTGATCTTTTACAGGTTCTACTTTTTTTTTTTCAAACTACCATTCTTACTACGGAAGAAGAAAAATGAAATTAACTCGCCCTAGCGAATTTTTGGTTTGCTTCTCTTTATGCATAGGGGGAAAAGGGTGGGAGGGAGAAAGAGAGGGAGTCAGGGGAGGGCTAAGCAGATGAGAAAAAAAAAATAAAATAATGCACCCTCCCAGGACACGAGAGAAATAGTCTGCTTGGGCTAGCGGAACAAATAGCTTCCATAGAGCACTCTGTAGTTTACAAAACGTTCTTTGTGCTGTCCAGTTCGATGCAGTTGAGTAGATAGTAGTGTTCCCACCTCTGAGGCTTTTTGACTTGTGTGACCTTGCAAGGCAAAGAACTTAAACCTTTCTGGGCCTCAGTTTCCTTGTGTGTAAAATGAGGGGATTGGGCTTAAGGACTTCTAAGAAACTTTCTGTGACCTTGTCATGCCCCTCCTAAACAGAAACTCATTCGGGTCAGTCAGGCCACCTGGCTACCCTAGGATATTCTTCCATTTATAAACTGCCAATCTATAGCCCACCCATTTGTTAAGCCCCAGCTCAGATCCTATCTCTTCATGAATCTGCCCTTGCTTGATCTTTCTTAAACTCCTTTTACAATGTCAGCACTGTTACATACTAACCATTTTCCAACTATTGCTTGTAATTCAACCCTTTATTATATCAGGATGCAATGTTGCCTTAATTGCTTCATGCTAATTGACTTTCATTTCTACAACTGCATTGTAATTTCTTTGTTGGCTAGCTCTATTATATATACACACCTTTGTCACTAGGACAGGGCTAGACAGTAGGGTTGAGGAATAGGTGGTACTTGATGCAGAATTTCAGGACCAGCAAATTGATTTACATTCATTATCTTATTTGATTTTCATTGCAACCCTGGTGAGATTTATTGGCACTTCAGATATTAGCCTCATTATTTGGATGAGGAAACTAAGACTCAGGTTATTTGCTAAAGGATATTCGCAGCTAGTTAAGTCTCAAAGAGCAAGATTTGAACCCATTTCTCTCTTCAGTCAGCTATTTCTCCCTTACTGGCTTCTGTGGACCAAAGGCATATTTACACATTAAGGGGGGAAGGGAAGCACTTTCTTATATAACATGGTATACAGAAACTGTTGAAAGTGGGCAGATTCCAGAATGATTTAAAAATTGTCCTCATTAGACAAGTCTTAAATCAAAATTAGAAGGCACCTGGGATAATTTGGTCCAACCTTGTGTGAAACATCTTTTAAAGTGGCTGGATAGGAAAACAAGTGAAGCCACAGTGATGGAGATGGTGAAATAGGGATGGTTCTAGGGACTCAGGGTCACAGGAGACAGGAAAATTTAGCAAAGGAAAGGTGGAAAGATAGCGGTGGGAGCAGAATAACAAAGTTCAGCAAGCTTGAAGTCCAATTCTGTGCAATGGTAAAGTCTGAGAGGCTGAAGTGAATCAGAAGGGGTATTTGTTCATAAGCAGCATGTCACTGGATCACTTAGCATATGCATCCTAGCCTTTAATTAGTGCACATATCTTGTTTGAGGTATGATATTGTTTGTTTTGAGCAAAGAGCTGAGAAAAACCTTCATTACAATCTTTCCATCACCTAACAACACTTTGTTCTCTATTTGTTGTAAATAGGTTTCTCAAGCTGCTGCTGATTTGAAACAGTTTTGTCTGCAAAATGCCCAGAATGATCCCCTGCTGACTGGGGTATCTTCCAGTACTAATCCTTTCCGGCCCCAGAAAGTCTGTTCTTTCCTGTAGCAAGATGATCTTAAGCTACTTGGGAAGGGTAAGTTACCTTAAAAAAATAAAAACCCAACAGGTTAATTCCTTTGTTGAGAACAGTTCCATTTTTGACAGCTCCCCAGATGTGTTTGTCTGCACCTTTTCCCAAATGCTTCCAGTTCTCTCTACTGAAGTAATGTATCTAATTACACTTAGAAGTGCTGTTCTATTTAGCTACCTTACCAATTCAAGATGAATATTCTTTAGCTAAGTACACACTAAAAACTGGCCTGAGAATACCATTACAGATTTTGGCTGGATGTGAATTGTTAGTGCAGTAAAATACCAAATTCTGAATTCAGACATAAATTACTGAATTTTCTAGAATTAATTGGGTTAATCAACTTGTTTGGATAGTGAGCCAGAGAATTAGGAAGCTAATGGTTAGAAAAAACTTAATCATTCCATATATTGTATAGAGGCATTTACTAAATCATCTAAGGAAAATGAAACTGCACTTTTAAAACTAAATGACCCTGACAATCCGATAGTATTTTTTTTGTGCGTACTGAAGCTTAAATGGCAAAACCTGGTGGTGGTTGTTTTTTTCTTTTTTTCCACTTAACTTACAAATAGTTAGCCAGGAAAAAAGTTTATCCACTAAAATAGCCAAGGAAATAGTTCAATAGCTTAGCTAGAAGAAAAATAAGCAGCCTTAGTCTCTATTTGAATTTTTCTTGTGTAAGGAGTGTTAACAGGTCCACCCTTTATAGAAATTCTGAAATCTTCAGTGTTCAGGAAGTTGCTTCCTGAAAATACCGAGTTCCAGTTGTACCTCCCTAATTGAGCTCTCTTTGTAATCTGGGAGTGTACAAACAAGCCCATGTATGTATGAATATCATGTATTCAAAGGTAACCACCACAACCATGCAAGATACTGCGGCACCAGTATAAAGTATTTTTAATACAAAGGGTTCTTTCCATTACTAGTTACAGAGTATCATATTCTATATGTAACATTGTGTTTCTAATCTAGCTCCATTCACAAATGAAATGAATAATGGGTATAATACAAGCAAGTTATTTGGCATAACTCTTAGAGGCATTTGTCTTTTATCATACAGATGAGACTCTGGTTATGACTCGTTAAAAGTTCACAGGACAGCAAAAGATACAGCAGGAATTAGAATCCATGTCTTCTGATTCGCTACAAATACTCTATCCCACATTTTGGGTGTGTTCTAGGATTGCTTGTTTTTTATATAGTTATGACATACAAATGTATTCTTTAAGAGTAATTGTTCTCCTGTGTAAACTTTTCTTTCAGATCTCCGAATCCCGTCTTCATATGTGGATCTGTGATGTGACTTGATGTTCTGTGATGTGAATTGTGACTATTCAAAGGAGAGAGAATTCTAAAGCCTGCACAAACATTTAATCTATATGTGTGTAATCATGTGCCAAGTTAATCATCCAAGTTTCAACTTGTGTCAGACTTTCTCATCTACCTCTCCGAATTTTCATTGATTTCTGTTTTGTACACTGGCAAGAATACAATAAAGTATTCAGATGAAAATCACATTTTTGTAGTTCTTTAAGAGTTAATAATGGGTTTCAAAGACTCATAGGGTAAAAATAAAATATATTAAATAAGGGGGGAAAAAAAGAATCATAGGGTAAACCTGAAATCAAATGTAGTTTATTTAGTTCAATGTACATAAACTTGATCCCGTCCACAAAGGATGTCAGTTGAGTTATTTCTGCAGTGGAAAGCTCTACTGAATTATTCCTCTCTTCTAGTCCCTAGCATACCAACATCACAGAATATGCTATTTGCAAGATTATCCTCTATCTGATGGACAGACACAAAGAGATTCTTTCAGTGACTTGGTGTGTGACCACCGAGGTTCTAGAATCTGGCTCTCTGGACTCCTAGTCGAATTCTCTTTCAGCTATTCATTCAGTTTTCTTCTACCAGGCAACAAACTGAAGTTATACATTATTCCCAGCTTTCAGTACAAGGTGAAAGTTAGAAAAAATAGATATATTAAAGAACATACTCCAACGTTCACTTATTACTACAAAGAGCTGATACATTCAAAGAATAATCAATTAATGAAAGGACCTTCATTGACAAATATATGGCTGAAAAATGAATGTGTCTTCAGATGAGGTCTCTTCAGTAAAAAATAACAGTTCAAAATAGGTGATGTCCAATCTGGCTTTTTCAGTACTTCATAAATGAAATTTCCTTCTACTTGTGTCCATTTCCCGGGGCTAAAAATCCAAACCAAAAAAAAAATGGCTTGAGTAGAACAAATAGGTACAAGAGTAAAGATAGCTTAAAGTTAATAAAATAAATATACATTTTAAAATGTAAAATTAAAGCTAATAAAATCTATAGCACATATACATGAGAAAAGATCTTCTACATTTATGTGGTATTAGAGCCTTAGTTGCGTACCAAGAGTCAAAAGCTTTCTGTTTCCCCATGAACTAAAAAATTAGGTTTAGTCTAAGCCATAATAAATAGTCTTGTTAAAGCAAAAATTATTGCCCCAATATAAGTGTTCTACTTGATTGTTAAGAAGAAACTATTTCAGATTACCTTACACACAATTTTCAAACCAAGTATTTCTAGAGATCTTTGAAAAAAACTGGTTGTTAACAGAATAGTTTAATCTTTATCCCAGGGGTGGGGAACCTTTTCATGTTAGAAGGCTGCGTTAATATTTACTTGTAATCAAATAAGGCTGCATTCAAGAAACTTACAAATAATATTCTTGAAAATGTACATTATTTTATAAAAATCTAATATTATGTACTTGATTTCAAAAAATGAAATTATTTGTTAATTTTAAAGTTAACTAATCTTTTAATGACTTTGTTGTGTCTGCTTTCTGTTAGAAAGCATTTGAATATCTGGTTGCAGCATGGAGGTCTGCAGTTTCAGTTTATCCTCTAGACGAGTATCAGTCATTTGTGACCTTAAGGGCGTTATGATTTGGGTTAGGTAGGAGAATGAAGATCTAATAATCCGTGGTTGAAATGCAAGAAAGCATTTTTCGGACATGTTGCCAAAAGTATGGGTATTCTACTGCATTTTTCCGTATTTTAGTTGGATCTTTCTTAGCAAAAAAAACCCAATGACTTTAAAATGTCATCTACTGAGAGCTCAATCAATTCCATCTGTAGTTCTTTATGTGCCTTGGAGATATCAACTAGGTGAGGTTGAAATGCTAATTTGAGTGAATCAAAGTGAGTGAATCTTTCACTGCATTCTCCAATTAATAGGTCTCTAACAGCTGTGTATTCTTCAAAAGATTCGCATATGCCACCCTGCTCATCAATGATCTTTGCTAACTGGGGAAAATGTTCACCAGAAATTTCCTTTTGAAGAAGAGTTTTGAAAAAAGAAAGCTTCTTACGAAATGCTTGGATTTTTTTTGCCACGTATCATATGTAGGCTTAGTTTTACCTTGCAAAGAAATATTCAAGTCATTTTGATTTGACATATCACACAGAAATGCAGCATTTCTATAGAAACCTTCTTTCAATAATTAATTCACAAGGCTGATTCTGTTCTTCATAAATTTTAACTACCTGTTCTCACAGAGATAAAATTTTGGCTAACACCTGTCCCTAAGATAGCCAACGCACTTTAGAATGATAAGGCAAATCCACACTGAATACCTCATCAATCAACTTCAGCTTATTATGAAACTGATGATGCCGTGTTGCATTTGCACAAATATAGTTAACAATACTTATAACTTGTTGCTTAGTGTCACTTACAATAGTAGCTTTAGCACAGAGACTTTGCTGATGCAAGATACAGTGAAAAGAAATAAGAGCTAATACTTTTTTTTTAATCTACGCGATAAACTCTTCATGCTTTCCTGTCATGGAAGGTGCACCATCTGTACAGACACTGAATTTATCAAATTCAGTTCAACTTCATGACATTTATCTTGAAAGTTGTTGAAGATAGTAACTATTTCCCATGTTCTCTTCGCAAGTGCCCAAAGCAAGTAACTCTTTGTAGTAAAGAAAATCTTCTGTTATGACCCAAATGAAGTATAAAACACATGCCGAGTCAGTGGTATAAGTTGATTCAACCAAAGTGACTGGATAATAGATATTTTCCTTTCCAAGTATTGCATGAAGTTGTTAAGTTGAAGGCTGTAATCAATGCTGCTGATCAGTTATGGTTCTCCTTGAAAGAGGTAGTCTGTACTTTGAAATGTTATTGGGGGGAGGGTCCTAAGCATCCTACAACTTTGACAAAGCATTCTGTCACAATTTCTACATCACTGAATAACTTCCCCTTTTTCCAAGTACATAAGCTACTTTATAGTAGCTTCAGTGGCATTATTTCCAGGTCTTACTGCTGCTTGAACAAACTGTCTTTGCTTTTGCTTTTCATCTTTTAATTTCTGCAATACAACCTTTCAGGCCTCTCCAATTTAAAATATTTGTGGCCCTTATGAGTGTTATAATGCTGATGAGCACTGAATTTCTTTAATGTTAAAAGTGCAGTATCACAAAGCAAGCAAATCATCTTGTCTTTAGCAGAAACAAGATAATATTGCAATTCCCAATTCTCATTTAAAAAAAAAATCTGTTTTCTTCCTGCAGCTTTCTCTAGGTCTTCTTTGACATGATGGGCTGTTAAGCAGAGAGAATTTTTAAAAATACTGTCGAGCTACACAACTATTCACAAACTTCATTTCAAATAGAAACAGTGCACCATTATCAAAAGCTGGTAATAAAATGGCATACTCAACCCTCCCTAAATTCTTGCCAGCCAGCCTCAAGTGGAAGGGGCACCAGTCAGGCAGGGGAAGTTAGAACTAAATAATGAGCACAGCAGCCATCAATTTAGCCATTATGGCTTAAGGATATTCTAACTGTGCTGGTCAATCTGGGAGGATTATTTCCTTGAAACTTATTTTATTTTTTGGTATTTTAAATACATTCATTTTAAAAATAACAATATAAAAGACAAACAAAAATGCACTAATAAAAACAAAAGGATCTATTCTCGAAAATTTGGATTCAGTCAAAAGACCATATTTAAGGACCTGGAAGGCCACATTGGCCTTAATGCCGCAGAGTTCCCACCCCTGCTTTAATCCTTTTATCCGCTCCAACTTGGACACAAACATGTCAGAAGTCAGGATTCCAGAATGGACCTCATTCCTAAAGTTTAAAGATCACTTAGAAGAGGTTTTCCTTTTTGTTTCATGATTTTAAAACTGATTGATCAACTAGTATTTCAGATATTGTAACACATACCTTATGAACCCATTCATATTCTCCATATTTAGAATCAAAGGTTCCTTTCTGAAGAGATCTCAATTTTAGGGTAAAACGTGGTCCAAGTTCTTGAATTCCCACTTTCTTTTCGCTCTTAAAAAGGTATCTTGAACAACAAAGGAAAAGTTAATAAAATTATTTTTTAAAAATTCATCTTTAACTAGAGGTTAAACCAGCTGTCTTAGTTCCTTTCCCTATGACAAAGAACAGAGCCTAGGGTACCTTCGAGATGGATGGCAACTCCAAAGGTCTTTTAGATGAATCCCTTCTGGAATCACCAATCTTCCCAGTTAACGTTTGCAACTTGTAATCATCCAGCATCCACTAGATATCCTTATTATGAGCAGAAACCTGCTACCTGCCAAGGCAGTCCACTTCAATTTCTAGACAGCTTTGTTTGAAATTTTTCCTTAAATATGGCTTTCCATAATTTCTATCCACTGGTCCTAGGTGTGTATTGAGGCTGAGCAAATCAAATTCCTCTTCTATGTTCAATCCTTACATAGCAACATATTTTCTCTCCATCATACCATATACCTAACTGCCTTTCTCTGGCCTCATTTCTCCCTGCTAATGTCACTTTTTAAACACAGTACTTAGAACGGGAAAACAGTATGATTCCAGATGTTATCTGACTAGTTAAGCAGTAAGACTATCACTGCCCTCATTCTAGACACAGCTCTATTAATGATTATTAAAATTGCATTTGTTTGAGAGATTGAAGGAATATAAACTATTAATAAACTATTAATGCTTACTGAGCTTAGTTAAATAAAATTATCTAGCCATCTATCCCCAATTTACATAGTTGATTTACTGACCATAAAGGCTAGACTTTATCCTATTAAACTGAATCTGACTAGATTCAGCCTATTGCTCCAGTCTGACAAAATTTTTTGAATCCTGATTCTCTTAACCGAGAGATTAGTTAATCTTTCCATTTCTAGCTTTTATGTCCTCTAAATGAATACCACGTATAGTGTCCTTCATTTAAGTTTCTGATAAAAATACTGAACCGGATGGGACCTCAGACAATTATGAAGCATGACACTCAAAATTTTCTTGAGTTTCATGTGAATACATCAATTAACACTGTGTTCCCTTGTCTGACTTCTTTTCAGTCTACCTTAGCATCTCATCTAGCTAACTGTACTCAACCTTGTTGTCTACAATGATAAGTAAATGGGCTAGTTTGGCTAAGTATGCTAAAGGGAAGAAATAGGTAAAAAGCCTAGAGAGAGGGAGGCTGTAGCTAGCCTCTGTAGGGCTGTAGACACCAAACAGAGGAGTTCCTATTTGATCCTAGAGGCAACTGGGAACTGCTGCCTTTCTGAGTGAGAGTTAGCTCTGTAGTTTTTATATGTCACTCTGGCAGTTCTGCCTCTAATTTTTAATCTCTTCCTATCTACTGGCTCTTTCTCTGCTACCTTCAAACATGTCCAGGCCTCCATCCTTAAAAAACCCTCCCCTGACCATTCCATTCCCTCAAGCTATTATCTTAAAATCTTTCTTCCTTTCTAAAACCAAACTCCTAGAAAAATCTGTCTACACTAGCTGTCTCCACTTCCTCCTCTCACTCCTCAAATATTTACAACCTAGTTTCCAACCTCATCATTCACATGAAAGTGCTATCCCCCAAACTTGCCAATTACCTTCAGTGCCAAGTCTGAAGATCTTCTGTCAACCTTCATTCATCTTAACCTCAAAGGATTTGACGCTCTTGATCACTCTGCCTCATAAATATTCTCTCCCCTTTGGGTTTTGATCACACTGCTCTCTCTTGGTTCTCCTATCTAATCACTCCCTTCACAGACCTTTCTGCTGGTAAATAACAATCCAGTCCCATCCAGTAATTACAGCCACAGCCCCAGACTACTATGGATGTCTTCTCTCTATATACTCTCTTGGTTATGTCATAAGCTCCCACAAATTTACCTTCAGGTCTAGATGTCCAGCCTTAAGACTCTCTGCCCAAGCACCATTCCTACATCACCAAAACTGTTTAATGAATATTTAAACTCACCATGTGCAAGAAAGAACTCATTATCTTTCTCCTGAAACCCACTTTAGGAACTTCCCTTTTTTCGTTAAGGTCCCCAACACCCTTCCAGTCACCCAGCTTCATAACATCAGTCTTCCTTAACTCTTCTCATTTCTCTCACATATCCAGTCAACTGCCAAGTCCTGTCAATTTTCCCTCCACATTTCCCCACTCACTCTCTTTTCTTTAGTCACATGGCCATACTCTAAGTTCAGGCCCTAAGCACCCCTCCTAAATGATTAAAGTGGCCTACTAATCTTTCACACTGCCAAACTGAAATCCATAAAACACATGTCTGACTGGGGACAAGGAGTGCTCAGCTCCATAAACACCAGCAGTTTCTTATGTCCTCTAGGGCTCTATTAAACTCCTATTCAGCATTTAAAGCCTACCTTTTCCAGGCTTCACTCCATCTACAATCCAATGAAACCTGCCCCAAACCTTGCTGTTCCTCACCTATGTCTGGAAAGTATTCCCTCCTCACCCCTTTCTTACAATCTCTAGCTTCCTTCAAGGTCAGCTCAAGCACCAGTTTATATGAGATCTTTCCTATTCCCTTCTCCCTACCCCCAGCTCCTAGTGCCTCCCCAACCCACCAAAGTTACTCTGAATTTACTTTGTATACGTCTTGTGTTTATACACAGACCATATACGTGTGGTCTCTCTTAATTGGATGTAAGCAGAGACTTTTGTCTTTGTGGCCCCAGAACCTAGTTACCTGGGCACATAGAGGAACTCAATAAACACTTGTTGACTGACTAGAGAGAGGAGAGTGTGGAGGCTGGGACAACACCTAACGGGCTGTTGCAATAGTCCAGGTAAAAAGGAGTGGAGAGAAAGGAATGGATCCAACTGACAAGTGTGAGGGAGAGTGAAGAGGCAAGGATGACCCCAACACTGTGAACCAGAGTGACCAGAAGCAGTGGGTGCCCTTGACAGAAACAGGGAAGTTTGACAGAGGGGGAAGATAATGAGTTCTGTTTTGTACATAATAATTTTGAGGATACCCCAGGACATCTAATTAGAAATGCCCAAAAAGCAACTGGTGATGGGAAGTGAGAATTCATGAGAAACTGGAGGCCAGATATTTTAACTAGGAAGGACCCCAAATGGAAAAGAAGGCAGAGTTAAAACAGTTAAAAAGACAAGGTAAGCAAGACAACAGAAACATTAGCATGAAAAGAGAAAGGAAGGTAGGTGTCTATCAAGGCTATAAGGGAGTAATGAGGAGAGGATGGTGATAGCTCCAGAGTTTATTGTGGAGGCACAAGAAATCCTGTTACAGCAATTCAACAGAAGAGCTACTAGTGAGGAGGACAAGACTCAAATCTTCAATTTCAGCAAGTAGGGAGGGCAGAGTGAGTTTTGCATTGACATATATAAAGTATATGATCATGCTATTTTTACCACAGCCAAATGACTTATCTATGCTCCAAATGCAGAATGGTCCCCCTCAGAAAAAAGTCAAGGGGTTCAAGGAGTGCCTTATCATGTGATCAGGGAGAATAAAGGGATAAATATAAAATAAAAAGAAGCTTCCCTGTCAAGACAAAGAAAAAAGGATCTTAAGAAACAGAAAACAAAGCTGCCCAGGTAGAAGAAAGTGAGAGGCAAAAGGAGAGAAGATGTGAAGCTAAAAAAATGGCTGTGAGAGTCTTGCAAGCATAGAAAGGTGAACTCTCTGAGGAAGAGGCAGCTGGTTGTCCCCCAAAAGATAACAGTGGACATCCACCACTGGAAGGGTCTTAGGAGGAAGAGAGGAGAGGCGGGTAATTTCCTACTGAGGGAACTGAAGCAGTCCTTTGCTGGCCTCAAACAGCAACAGAAAGGTCCTTCCTGGTGCTAAGACTTATAAACCAGATAACTTATAGCCATTTCTAGCGAATTCTATGGACACAAATAATACTAACATAGAAAATCTACCAAGTACTGCTAAAGACAACAAAATCTTGGGCAAAAACCTCAGGAACCTAAGTGTCGTTTTCATCACTGTTCTCAGATCAGAAGGAATACCTTCTGAAGATAATAGCCGATTTGATAAATGAATCTCTCACTAAAGACATGGTGCCAACAAAAGGTATTTATAGATTCCATACTGAAGCTTAAAGAACAGGAATGACAAGCTCCTGGTCCAGAATGGAATCCACCTAACAATATCTGGTAAGAGTATCTTCAAAAGGGTTTTAAGCTGAAAATGAAAGGTAGAATGAAGATAACTTTCTATGTATATCTCACCAACTTGATACTTCTATAGAATAGCTGCTATGTAAGATGAAGAAAACAGACAATTCCCAGTAGTTCAAAGGAGAAAAAAAAATCCAAGGAAGGAGCCAACAATAACACCAATGGTCTTGGCTAGCTATAAATATATGCACAATATACCGGTAAGAGGAACTAATGCTCCTAACAGAAGGATGATAATTTGCGCATAAAAGTGCCATTGAGTGTTGTGGCATGACACTGATAATTGGTACATGATTTGAAAGGTACAGGTGCTTGAGTTATTTTACTTCAGTTTTCTCTTCTAAGAAGAAAGATCTTTGGATTAGTAAAGAGAATAAAAATGACTAACAGGGAGCTGATATCCAAGATTAGTAGACAGACAGTAACGACAATCTCTCTCTGACCATGATGAGTTCACATTTCCAGGCCAAGATGAACTTAGTATATCCTTCAGCCCTAAAATTGGCAGACGTGACTACTAAGCTATTATCAGGGATCTCTGAAAGATCACGGAGAACAAGAGAAGCAAAACAGGATTAGAGAACGGCAAATTTTCCAATTTTCAAAAGAGGGAATGCACACTATAGAACTGTGACCCTACCTTCAATTCTTGACCAAATTACAGATGATATATTTAATGCAACACTTAACAAAGAGCTACAAAAAAAAAAGCTAGCATTACTTCATCAAGGACAGGTCATGACAAACCCCATTTACTTCATTCACTCTCCAAGTTACTAGACTAGTAAATCAAAGGAATGCTTTCATTTACCTACATTTTAGCAAAGCTTTTGAATAAATGTCTATCTCGTTTAGGAGGACAAGAGATAGAAATATGAGTAAGATGACAATACAGCTAAGTGAATTCCAAACTGTTTGAATGGTCAGAATCAAAGCATAGTCACTAACAGCTGGATATCACCTTGGAGGTGGGAATCTTATGAAATTCCCCAGGGATGTAGGCATGGCTCTTAGCCAAAGGCACAGATGGTATGTTCATTTAATTTGCAGACAGTACAAAATTAGCTAGCTAATTTATTAGAAAACAAAGTTAGGATTCCAAAATATGTTCACAGACAAGAATAATGGGTTAAATCCAACAAACTGATAATCAGACCACATTAGAATATTGTGTTCAGTTCCAAGTGCCACATTTTACAAAGGATATCAATAAGCTAGGAAGCATACAGAGAATGGAAACCAAGATGTTGAGGACCTCAAGTACACATTACATAAAGATGGGCTAAAGGAACTATGCATGTTTAGCCTGGCAAAGAGGAGATTTAGAGAAGACATCATGAATGAGCTGTCACATAGAAAAAGGGAACAGACTTGCTCTGTTTGGTTCCAGAGAACAGGACTAAGAGGAATGGGTAGAAGTTTCGAGAGGCCAATTTAGGCCCACTGTGAGGTAAAACTTCTAAAAAGGTTATCTCAGAAGGGAGTTAGCTCCTTTTCACCAGGTGTCTTCACACAAGGATTGGATGACTATTTGTTGAGGATCTTATTAAGGGTAAAGCTTTGATCAGGACAGTCTTTCAGCTCCCAACTCTGAGACCCTGGGACACTTGAAACATAATTAATATAAAAAAAGACAACATATATTAGGCCTTTTGTAACTGTGAAAGGCCATGTAAATAGAGGTTTTTATTAATATTCTTAAAGTACATACAGCTTAAGAACTCTTATTAATTCTATTATATAACTGAAAATTTTACCTGTGAAATCTGAAAAAGATGTAATCCCGCTGATTATGAAATGTTGCAACCTGCCTTCCAATAAACTGAGGATCATGGGGGAAGAGAGAAGCAAACATACGTCCAATGGAATGACCCAGTCTTGTTGTAAAATTATTCAGAATTACTTCAGGTGAATGTTGGGTGGGTTCTTTCCCTTTCCTCTGGAACAATTTTGCAGAATTACTACAGGCTTAAGAGGGCTGACATAGTTCTAGCCACAACTGCAGAGCACACACCAATATTTCTTTAGTTTTCAGCTTAAAATGATGCAAGAAAGCATTCTTTATTCCAACGTCAAGTAAGAATTTATTCAAAATAAACAGTAAAACATCCATATTTAAAGAATAGCTTAGTAGATTAATTTAACATCTGTGACTTTTAGATCTTGATGGTCACTTCAGTCTAAAACCAGAGACTGAGACAACAGGCACTCAGGACAAATGTTCCCTCAAATTACTTACAGATTAAAGAACATCCTATCCACAAAAAGACAGGGCAACTCTCATTATAGATTGCCTTTATTTTTATGAAAACTTGGGACTAAGGGAAATATGTTATATTTTCTAATATTTATAAAAATAAAAATTGAATATTACAATTTGTACACTTCTAAAAATTAGAAAAATGGAATGGAAGCAATTAAAAAGCTGTTCTCTGGCAAAGAACAAAACAATTAATGCTTCAATAAGAACAGAAAAAAAGTTTTCTGTAAGCATTATTAGGAGGGATACAATTTAGAAATATGCATAGTAATACTTTAAGCAAAGGGATAAACAAAAAAACTTACCTTTATCTCCTTACGGAGGCGAACACTGCTCATTCTAAAATGAGCAGTTGGACCATGAGGCAAATGACTTAAAACAAGTCCATCTGATTATAAAATTAAGAATGAATAGAAATTGAACTGATCCAAATACTGCAATTTATGAAACTAGTCTCCTGGATACTTAGAATACTTATAATCTTTATCTTGTTTTCTTTTAAATTGGGTCTGAGGATGGGGAGAGAAAACAAATGCATGCTAATTGAAAAATAAAATAAATTGGAAAAAAACAAACTACGCTAACCTTACTAAGTCATTTTTCCAGATACATAAAAATATCTCAGGTTACAGACTGGCATGTGGGAAGTCAATCTCAAACTATACATTTCTACCTACACAGCCTATACAAGTCACTATCTTCTTGGCCCCACTCTCTGACCTTGTAGCCACTACTTCCAATGTACAGATATTATGACCACGAATAAGCACTAAGTACCTATCATGTGTGCTAAGCTCTAGTGAAGTACGAACCCAGGGGGCTTATCTGTGCAATGAATTCTAATGTTATATGGCTCACCAATTTCAGTGGGGAGATGACTGGTGCCAATGCTCAGCATTCTACTCTCTTTATTGATAGGCCTCAAAGAAGCAGTCATGTTTCCCCTGGACTTTCAGGGAAGTAGCAAGATAATCTAGGACATTCCACCCATACCAGCTGCACCAGTAGTATTAGCAGCAGGGGCTAGAAATCTGTTACACTAGGTATATGGAAATGAGTTGTCTCCAACTTTGGGGAAGATGTTTTAAACCTCAAAGGTTCATACTATAGGGAAAGTGGACTGATGGAAAGCTCAAGTGAGATAATATATACAAAGTACTGCAAATTTTAACATGCCATATAAATGTCTGTTATTACCATAAATAGAAATAGGGAGAAAAATGAGCTTCATTTGTTTGTTGCTTTTTGAAGCAATAAAAAAAAATGACAGCATTTGCCTTGAAACAGAATATTTTTCTAAAACAGTTAAATATGGGTCTGGTGATGGATTGTATGTCTACCGTCCAAGGACTAGCCCAGCTCAAGCTGGAGAGGCTCAGCATTGATTTAGTGGCAGAGTGATGAATTTTTTGGTCACAACAACTCTCAAGGACCATTTCCTATACTCCAGAAGGGCTGTGATCTGCAGAGGGAGTCCCACACCAACAAAATTACAGAGCCTTGAAAACGCTAGAATTAACAAAGCAAATAACGTAGTTACTATGCTACATTCCACTCACAAGCCAACTGAGGAAAATGATAGTATCTGTGAGCACCCTGTCACAAAGTTCTTTTCAGCCTATTTTAGTTTCCCAAGTTATCAGTATAAGTGTGTAGTTATACTTATTCAATTCATTACTCTGAAAATATCACTGTCCTATTAAAAAAAAAAGATACCAAATTTGCTTGGGGTTTTTTTGGGAAAGTTTTTTGTTTTTGTTTTTTCAAGCACACTGCCTTGAGAAAAGTTTTTTCATCACAGACTGAGTCAGAAAGGACCTTAGAAAGCATCTAGTCTACTCTCATTTTACAGATGAAGAAACTGAGGCCCAAAATGGTCATCTGATTTGCCTAAAGCCCAAAAGTATCAAAGGTCATTAAGTGGCAGAAGCGTAATGTGTAGTCTTGGCATCGTGAAAAATAGTTCTACTCTGTTTTCTGAATTCTTAGTAATTTAATTCCAATAATATTGATACATTACAGGTAGACTTCCTTAATGCACTAAAATTTGTCCTACTAATTTTTAGAAATACACTTATTTTTTTCTTATTCCTAAGTTTGGTGATAGCTTGTAGAAGCATTAGAAAAACTTGCTTCAATGACACATTCATCTTGAGACAGGATAAACAACAGCAAGAGGCTGCCTGTGGCTGGTAGTAACTAACATATCAAATTGTTCAAATTAAAAAAAGAACCAGAGTGAAGAAATGTACTTATTTTTCTTTTCCAAAGGATACTCGGTATTTTACGATCTTCATTGATAACAATCAGATCTGTGAAATCTCGGGAGATACATTGGGGGATAATTCTTTTCAGAGCTAGTCCTCTTCGGTAATAAACATGTGAGTTTGGTATAACAGTAGACAGTTGTTCACAGAACCTCACTGTTCTCTGCAAAACAAAACTTTTTAAATCTCTTATGATGATAACAAAGAATCATACAGTAAAGTCAGACAAGAGCACTACTTCATTCCTACACCACAGTTTTAGACTGGCAATCCAAAAGACAGCCTTAACCTGGATTACCAAGATCTCATTATTTATCTTATTCACAAAGAGGATGCTAAATGTTAAAACTAATGAATATTAAGAGTCAGGAAACTAAACAAACAGGGCTATTATCAGATATTTTAGTAAATATGTTTACCCCACGAGGTCTGTCTGATGTGGTAATAAGAATCTTGGGGGAAGTCTGTCGGTTGAAATGAGAAGCAAATTCATCTGTAGCTTCATCATAGGCAACCTAAGAACAAAAGATGCATGAATTTAAAAATAGTATAATGGCAAAAATATGATAATGACCTAAAGCACAGAAGGAAGTTTGATATCAAAACAAAACAAAACAAACCAACAAACCCCAACAAGAAACCTAGAAAAGCTTGGCTGTTTAGATCAATTTATTAAAAAACAAACATTTATTCTTTCATTTATTTTTTTCTCCCTATTCAATTCTGGATCCAGCAAAGTAACTGCAGTTTCTGTCAAGACATATGCATATAAGTATACTGATATACAGTTCCTATGGGTCAGCACTATAGGTCATCTGTTCAACGATAAGCATTCCTCTATTTTTTTTTGAGAGATTGTGAACAAATGAATGAGAAAGCATTGTTTTTAAGACCCAGAATGTGCCAAGCACTAAACTAAATGTTGGGGATACAAAAACAAAATCAAAGACAGTCCCTGCCCTCAGGGACCTTCATTCCAAAGGGAAGAGAAAACACACCCAGCGAAGTGGTGACCAAGGAGGGGCACTTTGTTCCAGAAAGTTACAGGGAAGGCCAAAAAGGAACAGGCGGACACACTCATCCAGGAACAAAGGCAGAGCTCAACTGATTTTTGTTCCAAAACTGGAGGGGGTGAGGATGTCTACTGCAACCCAGGAGGACATAGCCAGAGAGAAGAGGGTGAAGTAAAGCACAGTGGGAGTTGGAAAGGCCTTCACTATTAGGAAGAGCGGAACTCCAGGGCAAAAGTTCCTCTAGACTCCAGCTTGGTCTCTGGATTGGTGAGCAAGGTAGGTAGAGAGGTGTGGAAAGGGGAAAGAGTTGAAGATTGTGGGTCTTATTTAGATAGTTCCGCACAGTTATCAGGAGGACAACACCTACAAAGAGAGCATCTGAAGGACCTCAACATCCATAGGGAATCCCTTTTCCACTTGGACTTCGTCCTGGACTCCATGGCAATGGCAAACAAGTGTAGCAAGCTCACATCTGTTTTATGCCTTGATCAATATTCATAATCAGAGGATTCAACAAAGGTATTTGTTGTATTTTTCAGACATTTCTATGATCTTAACATATGCATGGAAGACTGGTCAACCAAATTAAATGTTTTATTTTTTTATAGTCAACACATAAGCACCCTGGGATCTTTAATCTCTGCAGTTTTCAGTCAAAAATGGAACTGTAAAGACAGGGTCTACCAGGCCGCCAGCCTATGTCCCCTCCTTCCCAGAGACTTCCTAGTCACACCCAGAACTAAGTCTCTGGCCTCTGTTTTCATGACAAGACCTTCCTTGTCCAGTACTCGATGCCTTTCTTGGATCAGACCTACCCCAAATTGCCAGTTCCTGCCATTTCTCTAGACTCCACCAGGTTATATCTTCCTCTGCTCCTGCCTCAAGAGTTGTGATAAGGTCCTCCTAGAGCTCACAGGACACATCACCACTAGTTGCCAAAAGGCTGGGCATTCAGGAAGGCCTTGAGAAATCTCATCATCTGTCTCCCTGTCTATGGACTGCTCTTCAGTCACTGATAATCAGTTTCATCATGGCTAGCTGCTATGTTTTCTTCTGTGTTACACAATACCAAGAACTATGAAGTAGAGTCTAAATGTATAGCAAGAAGAATATGCTATGATGGAGATGGAGATGCTACGATGCAATGATGGAGAAAGTTATTATGGAAAACCCCGCTGTGTCTTTTCTATATTTGGTCTGCCTGCTGTACTGTTTCATTTAAAAATATTTGGGGGATGATCTATATTAAACTGGTTATAATACTGAACTTTTTACAAACTCATTTTCCCTGCCTGTTTCTTACTGTTTTCTGGGGCAATACTGCTCATCTCCAATCTGTTAATATCCCCATTTCTGTCACAGGCATCACAATGCCGCCTGTCAAGCAGGTTCACTCACAGCCTTGGAATCAAGCTGTATTCTTCCCTCTCCTTCTGCCCCTCGACTACCAGATGCCAAGTTTTATCAATTCTACTTTTACAAGACCTTTGAGCAGGAGCACTGGATGTGGAGTCTGTAGATTTGGGTTTGACTTCTGGTACTGCTAGTCATTCAAGCTCAGAAAGGCTCAGGTATAAAGGAGGAAGTTCTCTTTTCCAGCTATAATCCTGTAATTATGATCCTCTCCCCTTATACCACCACCACTCAAGTGCAAGCTCTTGTCACCTCTTATCTGAAATAGCCTCCTAACTAACTCCCTGCTTTCAACTTCTCTACCCTCCAATCCATTACCCACAAAGTTGGCAAATTCATGTCTCTAAAGCACAGGTCCCACTGTGGTGCCACCATGCTCAAGAACCTGCAGCAGCTCATCAGAAGGCAAACTCCTCTGTTTGGCGATTAATGCCCTTCATGAACTGGCACGGGCCTTCCTTGAAGACTTATTTCTCAGTACTTCTCATCACCTCTATCTGTGGCATCTCAATGCCTATCTCCACGCCTAGGCACTCCTTCCCAGTATGGTTCCGTCTCGGTACCTCTGGTGACCTCTTCTAGACTTAACCCAAAGCCATTTCCCAAGATCTTTCCTGTCTCCCAGATGTTATTACTCTCCCTCACCCCAAAATTATTTTCTATCTGCTTCTCTGTGTCTATGCTGTATTCTTCGAGGAGAGGGTAAACTCCATGAGACAGAATGGACTGTGTCATCTTTGACCTCCTAGCGTCTAGCCTGAACACAGAATGTACCATGGAACAAAAACTTCTTCTGAAGACCTTTGAAAGAGTTTGTAGGCCAAACTTCTATTACTGTCTTTCTCTATTTGGCAAGGAAATAAAATGTCTGCTGGCTGCGGCAGATTCTAGTCCCTTCCATCCTCCCTGCCATCGCAATTGTTTGATATCACAAGCTTCTTTCAAAAATGGCACTAGTTCCAATATCTGTTCCTTCACCATTTTTAAACACCAATAGCTTGTTTAAATAAGTCAAGTTGGTAATGTTTTAATTGTACAGTTAAATAATATCACTTCTACACTTTTTTCTAACTTCATACTAGTTTTGATCTTTGCTTTAATAAGTCAATAGTCTGACTGTACACAGAGAGCTAACCTGAAAATGACTCACACGAATAACCAATCATTTCCTGTTAGGAGAGTCGATTTCTTTTTTTTTCCTGAGTGATTTTTTTTTAGTGGTTATCACATCTACCTCCAGACTCTTCATAATGAAAATATTCATTAGTTCATTTGTGTTTATATTTTAACAAGCAATAATAATTAGTGAATTATATGTCTGCTTTCGAAAGCCTGATTACCAGGTTGGCTACAAAGCAACTAATTTTTTGGCCATAGTAATTCTTGTTTGTTTTTTTTCCTTTTTGTTTTTTTAAAGGCAATTGGGGTTAAGTGACTTGCCCAGGGTCACACAGCTAATAAGTGTCAAGTGTTTGGTCTGAGACCGGATTTGAACTCAGGTCCTCCTGACTTCAGGGCCGGTGCTCTATCCATGGCCATAGTGATTCTTAAAGACTAAGTTAAAGAGGCAACTGTGATCTGCTCAGACAGTGTCCATATGGAAACTGATGTATTCCTTGAAAATCAAATTGACAATACTTTGAAAAGTTGCCTGAGATACTTCTAGTTTTTTGGGGGGTTTTTGTTTGTTTGTTTGTTTGTTTTTGCTAGGCAACGGGGTTAAGTGACTTGCCCAGGGTCACACAGCTAGTAAGTGTCTAGTGTCTGAGGCCAAATTTGAACTCAGGTCTCCTGACTCCAGGGCCGGGACTCTGCACCACCTAGCTGTTCCAACCTGCAATACTTCTGATCACACTCTACCTCCCAACCAACTTTGATTAATTTTCAGATCCTTCCCACCTCTTAGATGCTCTGACCTCCTCAGCTTCCATGGATTCAAACTGTCATCTCTGAAGATGGTTCCCAGATCTGTATTACGCAGCTCAAATCTCTCACCTGAGCTTCACCAATCTGCCTACTTGAGATCTCAAACAGAATGTTCCACAGGCATCTCAAATTACCACCATCCTAGTTCAAACCCTACCTGGACTACTGAAATACTATCCTTCTGGCTGCTCCCCTGCTCCAGCCTCTCTCTCATTCCCATCCATGACTCCACACAGCTGCCAAAGTGATTTACCTAAATCTAAGTTCGACCACCCTGTGGCTTCTTATGGGGGTGTGTGAAGGGAATAAGTATTATTGTAGTGTTTACTATGTGCAAGACACTGTGTTAAGCACTTTGCAAATATCTCATCTGATCCTCATAACAACCTTGAAGGTTAGTGCTGCATTATCACCATTTTACAGATGAGGAAACTGAGGCAAACTGAGGTGAACTGATATGCCTAAGGTCACACAAGCTAGAATGTGTCTGAGGACAGATTTGAAATCTGGTCTTTCCTAAAAGCAGGACCACCACTCTAACCACTGCACCACCTAGCTGCCTTATTACCATTTGGGATCAATTATAAACAACTGTGGCATTTAAAATGTCATACAAGCTGGTCTCTTCCTATCTTTCCCCTCCACATTTCTCTAGTTCATCCATAGTGGACCTGCTTGCTATTCCTCACTCCTATATCTATGACTCTGCTCTGGTTGTGCCTCATGCCCAGGATGGTGGCTCCTCCTTCTGCTGGTTTTTTTTTCCAGATGGACTCAATTCAAGCACTGCTTTCTATAGAAGGCCTTCCCTGGTTCCACTAGGATTCCAGGCCTTTCTCTCCCAGGTTACTCTGAATCTGTTATATATGTGTCTTGTATCTATCTCTGCATCCATCCCTCATGCTGCCTCTCCCATCAGAATGCAAGATACTTGAGGAAAAGAATTGGTTTGCTTGTCTTTGTATCCCCATGTTCAGCATAATGCCTGGTACGTTACAGATCCTTAATAAACACTTGCTGATTGTCTGAATATCTAAAATCTTGTGGGAGGAAAAAAATGGGCCCTAAAATTAGTCAAAATTTATTTAAAGAATTCAAAAATGTTTTAAATTTAGTATTTCAATAAAAAATTGTTTTTCTCATAAAATCTTATTAAATATAAGTCCCCAAATAGATACACAAGTTGAAAATAATCATTTTCAAAAGATATCAACTCCAAAATACGTAAAAGTCACACCTGCACAGGCAGTTTTGACTCTTATTACACAAACCTTCACACCTTTCAAATCTTCTAAACTACTCTTTTGAGTTTAAAACTTTCTGTTGTAGACCTTCAAACTAGTGGTGACATACATAGTTCTGCTTTTTGTACAGCCAAAATTCAATAGGACTTCCTCTTGGATGTTTCATACTTAAGAAACACTGCCACCAATTAAATGAAGGCCTTGGACATGGAGCCTCACGGTCTGAACACTAGGCATGTTTAACTGAAAGAGTATCATGTTTCCCCGATCAATTATCAGCTTGCATCTGAATAAAAATCTTATCTGATTGCAGCAAAAACACATACTTTCTATACCTTAGACTCACACTCATCTGGAACATTATTAACTACTGATTCATTTGATCCTGGTTTCCAACATAGGTTTCAATTTACTGTGAATCGTTATTCTTCATACTTTGTATTCTGAGTGCTAATATTTTTCCAGGCAGCCTTTCTTCCACCATTAGGTTTAACTGCTCTGGCCACATGTAAGCTTTCTCACTCAGCCATGTGGGGCTGGCACTCAACTCAGGTGCAACTTTTACATATTTTGGAGTTGGTATCTTTTGAAAATGATTGTTTTCAATTTGTATATCTTTATTTTGGGCCTTATATTTAGTAAAATTTTATCATAAAAATAAGTTTTTACTGAAATATTAGATTTGAAAAGGTTTTTAAAATCTCAAAAGAAGTTTTGACTACTTTTGGGGGTCTATTTTTTCCTTCCACAAGCTTACAGATAATCAGGGAATTAACAACTACTATGACTACTGAAAACCTTCCCATCTCCTACCACCATACACTGTCTTTCTGTACTTGCTGATACTGGCAGGACAAAAAGGATCAGACTTTCAAAATTTACTTGAATGTTCTTAGCATAAATCCCCTTTGTATCTCTTTCCCAAAAAGAAGAGCATCTATCCATCCAACAATCTTTACATCTTTTCCTCTTCACATGACAACTCTACTCTTAATCCCTTCCCCTTTATATTTAAATTTATTCTCAAACACTTTCACACAGAAGATTAAAAACAAGCCATTTTCTAAAAGACTTTATACTAAATTTATCAGAACACAGCCTTTAAAAACACATTTAAGCAATGTTTTAAAAACACAAATTGAAACTAGTTTCACCAGAATGATTCCACATAGTCAACGATCAAATTGCAAAATCAGTGAAGGATTTTCTACCAAACACAAACTCCCTAATGAAATCCCTGCATAACAAAATGTTTAAGTGAAAACATGGCATGAAAAGACATTTGTAACATCTCTCAAGTATAAGAAATGCGTTTTGATTCTGAGAATAAAAATTTAATAACCTGTTCATAAGAGGCCACACCTCAGAATCTAGACGACCTGGGTTTGAGTTCTGCCTTTGACTCATCCTGAGCAAGTAACTGAACCTCTCACTGAAACACTCTAGGACTATTAAGTCAGAGAACAGGTGCTGATCTACATGAGTAGAGGGTGTCATCTCACCCAAGAATTCATTATACCAAGGTCCAGATACAAAGACAAAAAAAAAGTCTCAAATCTCAATACGCAATACAATTGTAAGTACATAATAATCAGACCTCAAAAAATTCTACAAATGACATTAAAAAGTAAATGCAAACACAAAACACTATATGCTTTTAGAAAACAGAAACATGTTCTATAGCTAAGTCAACAATGAATAAATATTAAAATATCAAACACAATAGACTGCATAATTGGGTCAACTGGATACCTTGAACAGCATTTTGGTTTTAAAACTGAGAGGCAGAAGAGTATAATAAAACAGAAAGAGTACTAGTTCCAGGATCAAACCAAACTTCCCACACCTATTAGTTATGTGACAACAAGCGAGTCTGTGCCTCAGCTTCTTCCTCTGTAAAGTGAGGGTCCTATCACCTGCAGGAAGTATCTCACAGAGTTGTGAAAATCAGTTAAGATAATTTAAGTAAAAGTGCTTTGTAAACATAAATAGCAGCATATACATGTAAACTGTCACCCAATAAATAAAATGTAAGGTATAGTTACCCAATTTTATGTAAAATTTCTAAAATTACCTCTTCATCATTAGGGTCGACTATCGTCTCATCATAAACTCTCTGGTTTTCAATGGTCTTGGGCACTGGTTTTGGTGGTGCCTAGATAAAAAGAAAGTATTGATTTTCAAACGTTAGATACACTTTACATGCATTTTTGAAAAACTAATTTTGAGGGCCAAGGCAATTTAAATATGAAAGCAGTCCCCAAAAGAAAAAACTTATTATAGCCATTACTTTTATTTTAATTCCTCACTTGACTAAGAAGCAAAATCCCCAAATAAAATACACTGGCTTCTTATGGCAGCATAACCTCTAGCAGAATTATTAACAAAAATGAAAATGATCAAAACTTGGCAACAAGAGCTTGGAAAAGAAACTAAGTTGAGATTCGGATAACTAATCACCAATAAGATAAAACAAAACGCAAGAGAAAGGAAGAAAACCTTGTGTTAACCAAATTCACTGATAAAAGTTTACTATAAGAAATAGATGAACAACTAAAACAGATATGTAAACATCAACCAGATTCCAGTGGATTTGTAATCACAGGCTCACTTACCGAGTAACTAGTCACTTAGCCTCCTCAGGGCTCAGTTTATCACCTGTAAAGTGAGATTTGACACTTCTAACAGCACTTTCAAATCTCAAATCATACCATAAAGCAACAATCCTCAAAACTATCTGATGATGATTAAAACTAGACAAGGAGAAAACAGAAATGAACTGATCTCAATTACCAAGTGTTCAAAGAAACCTGAAAAAAAAATTAAAAAATAAAAATAAAATAAAAATAGGGGCAGCTAGGTGGCGCAGTGGATAGAGTACTGGCCCTGGAGTCGGGGGACCTGAGTTCAAATCCAGCCTCAGACACTTGACACTTACTAGCTGTGTGACCCTGGGCAAGTCACTTAACCCCACTGCCTAGCCAAAAACAAAAACAAAACAAAGAAACCTGAAAATGAAAATTGCTTGCGAAAGCTCTCCCTGTCTATTAAGAACTGTAAGGAAAATGGAAAAGTAGAGTTTGGCAGAAATTAGGTTTATACTAGTATCTTACACTATACACCACAATAAGTTCAAAATGAAAATGCAACCTGAATATAACAAGTCAATACCACAGGAAGATTAGAAGAGAACCATATCATGAACCTTTTACAAATATGGCTGGTGGAAGGTTCTTAACTAAACAAAACATAAAATAGGCAATTCTGATTACATGAAATTGAAAAAGTTTTGCACAAACACTATCAATGCTACTAGAGTAAATGGAAGCCATACATTAGGGAAAATGCTTTGCAAGAGGAGCATCTAAGTGGATAGAGCACTGGCCCTGGATTCAGGAGGACCTGAGTTCAAATCTGACCTTAGACACATAACACTTACTAGCTGTGTGACCCTGAGCAAGTCACTTAACCCCATTGCCTAAACAAAAAAAAAGTTTTGTAACAAATATTTTTGATAAGTGTTTGCTATCTAAGATTTATAAGGAAATAACAAATATTATGATACCAAAAGCCATTCCCTAATGGGCAAATAGTCAAGGAATTCTTAAGAGAAAAATTGTAACCTATTAACAACCATGTGAAAAATTCTCCAAATGACTGACAATAAAAGATATGCAAATTAAAACAACTCTGAGGTTTCATCTTATATCCAGGAAATTGGTAAAGGTGACAAAGATAGGAACAGTTTATGTTAGAGTGGATATGAAAAGACTGACACATTAATCTGTTGTTGGTAGAGCTGTAAACTGGTCCAACTCTTTTGCAAAGCAATTTGGAATTATCTAAAAATAGTGACTAAAATGCCCACTGACCCGAAGATACCACTGTAAAGCATATACCCCAAGGAGGTCAAAGACAAAGTTCCCACATACAACACAGTAGTTAGAGTAGCATGTTTGTGGCAGCAAAAACTGAGAAACAAATACACCCATAGTTGAGAAATGGCTAAAAAACCATTGAGGATTGTATGAATGTAATAGAATATTACTGCGTTGTAAGGAGTTATGACTGAAAAATTCAGAAGCATGGGTGAACATATGAACTGATATAGAGTGAAATGAGCAGATTTATAACTATAATGAATGGAAAGAACAAAAATCCCAAACTGAGCACTGTCCTTTCAGTGACCGAGTTTGCATCTAAAGAAGACATAAGAAAATGTACTGCTACCTCCCTCATTTCTCTACAAAGGTGGGTTACCATGTGTATGGATGGAGTACTGCATGCACTCTCTTGTCCTCCAGTATATTCTCACACCACCTTCAGGATGAGCTTTCGTATGCAGATATGGTCATGTCATTCTGCTGCTCAACAATCTTCAATCAACTATAGACCAATAGGAAAATTCCAACTGTTTGCCAGGCAGTCTAGGCCTTCTACAGTCCAGGTCTACTTTATCTCTCCTGTCTCCTATCTGCCTCAGGTTTTTGTGAGAAGTGCTTTGAAAACCACAAAGGGATAGAAACATGTATTAGGGTCTTTATTACTTCAGACGATTCCTCTCCATGCATTCCATTCTAAGGCCAAATAAGATTGTCTGACAAACACATGACAACCTCTCTCACTACGACAGTCAATGTCAGAATATTCTTCTTCTCCCTCCTCACTTGTTGGACTTCTACCCGCATTTTTAAAGCCCACATCAAAAAGCCATCTCCTGTACCAAGTCTTCCCTGACCCACACCATGGGCCTTTCCCTTTAGATATCACATAAGACTTTATTTTGTACCAGCTCGAATTTTGTACCTGTTTTGATTCCTGCCCCTCTTCTAGACTGTAAACTTTAAGACGTATTCTATCTATTAACTTTGTAGCTCCCCCAGTGGCCACATTTATTTAGTTCCTATTGTGTTCATAACAATATGCATTCAGTTGACTTATTTCTGAGTATACAAAACAGAAATTACAAAAAGTTAAGGATTGTATTTACCTTATCTCCAAGTGCCTCTCTCTCTTTTTTAAGCTTTTTCTTAGCTGCCAATTTTTCCTAAAGGATAAAAAAAAATTAATGAATAAAAATTATATCAGATGTACATTAAAAATTATAAAAGATTACTTAAATAAAGCCCTGAAAATTATTTAATGTTGTCAGTCATTGTCAACTCTGAAGATGATATCTTAGTATTATTTTTAAAATACAGTTTTCAACTCAAAATAATAACCATGTATATAAGGCCAAGCATTGTTCGACCCATCAAATTAAGATTTAACAGTAATCCTTCACCAGTTATCTTTTTCTTTGATTCAGCAATATCCACCTTTCTAGAACTCAAATCATTCATCAGTTACCTACTATGAGCCAAGCATCTTCTATTTTTCTCTTTACATTAAGTGCTTTTGTGCTCTTTTCCATTATAAGAGGCAACACTGTACAATGGAAAGTGCTCTGGGCTTAAGACCATTTGAAGCCCACCTCCAAACCTTACAAGTTGGGTGACAAATGGCAAATGACTTCTCTGAGCCTTGATTCCTCCCTCTGTAAAATAGGAATAACTGCTATAAAATCCACTTCCCAGGGATGTTGTGAGGGTCAAATGAGATCATGTATGTAAAGCAATTTACAGATCTTGAAGTCCTACATTAAATGTCTGATGGTAGTAGAACGGTGAGTCACAAAATTCCCTGCAGTAACCTTCTTTCATTTTCAGTCAAAGCAGATAAAAAAATTCTGCAGAGAAGGCTTGGGATTCTAAATGTCACGAATTGTACTGTGCTTCTTAATTCATTGCTAACCTTTCCAGAACTAGCTTCGCAGATTTTGCTCAAGGAGAGCATATCACAGAAGCAACATTTCAGTTTACTTTAAATTCTGTCCACTTTTCACAGTGTCACGAACTTACCTAATGGGTAGCATAGGATCACAGATTTAGATTAAGAAAAGGCCTTGGAATTCTAATCTAGCCCTCTCATTCCATAACTAAGGAAACTGAGTTTTGCTTACAGTCACAGGTTGTAAATGAAGGACCTAGGTCTCCACAGCCTTCAAATCTAGCCCCTTTTCTGCTATAATCACCTCCTATTTAAACTAATGCCTCTGATTAGACCCCTGTTTCTAATTCCTTCTCTCTCCAATCCATTCTCCACATAGCTGCTGGAAGAGGTTAAAAGCATAGGTATTAAAGCATAGGTTATGTCCCATATCTGATCTCTCCTCTCTACCAATCAATAGTACAGTGACTGGCAGATCTAGTAGTCATTTAATAACTTGCTAATTGATGCCACACTCCTTCCTTCTCAAGAAGCTCTGACTCCCCGTGGCCTTAAGAAGCAAACACAAACTCCTCAGTCTGCCATGTGAGGTCCTATTCCATTTGGTTATAGCCAAGTTTTGCATTTTTACTTCACATTCCAACACAATCCAAAAACGTTTATTAAGTCCCTACTATGTAAAAGGCATTCTGCTAGAAACTAAAGATACAAAGACAAAATGAAAAACCAGTGCCTGTCCTTAAGGAGTATGCAGCATGAAATTGTGGATGAGAAGATTCCTGTTTGAATCCTGCCTCACACAGTCCCTATCTGTAACCTCACAGCTATTGCTTTGAATAAGGCAAAAAGGGAGCAGAGGCAGTAGAAGATAGCATAATAAAAACATATACCCATGTGAGGAAATCAAGGAAGGAACTAAGAGGGGAAACATGGCAGAGAGAGAGAATCTAGGCTGATCTATGGGGACATCATAATACATCAAATGTCATCAAAATACACTACATAGCGCCCAGACAGAAAACAAACAGATAAGGAATATGATAATATGCCTGACACAAAAGCATAGTATAGTAATGATGGGGACTCTAATTATCCAGACATTTGCTGGAACTATGTATCTCTGCCACAACCAGAGCAGTTAAAAAATCTCCCAATTCACCTTAATGATAATTACAACCTTCAAAAGAATGAAAAGCAAATCAATAAAGATGAAGTTGACTATTCTGACCAACAGAGAAGAACTGGTTGCTAGGGTGGAAACAGTTGGCACCTTGTAAGGAAATGCTCACTACCATTTAGAGTTTGTGATAGAGGAGAAGATAGATAAGGCATAGTTTGGCAAACACCCTAGCTTCTAGGGAAATGGAAATAAAAGGGTTCAGAGGAAGATTAGTTAGCATAGCATGGGCTAAAATTTGACAAGTTCAGGAGACTGCAAATTCTCAGGAATGAAATTCTCATGACTTAAAGGGAAACAATTCCAATGAGGAAGAAAAATGGGAATTGTATGTAGAACCTGATACGGGTGTACAGAGGACTCACCAAGCAACTGAGACTTTAAAAAGATAATACAGAGACAGAGAGAAGGTGACAAAGGACAAACACAAATTTGTGGCACAGCATCATAAAAACGGTGTCAGAAGTGCTAAATTTCTGAATAAGCTGAAGCTGGCGAGGAATGCTGGGCCAACAACAAGGTTTTTTGGTGTTTTTTTTAAAGCTATATTGAGGGAAAGAAAAGGATCAAAGAAGAGACAAGGCTGCTATTTTGGGAGGGTAGGATTATGATTTATGATAGAAAGAAGGCTGCTAAACTCTTACTATGACACTGTTTTCTCTGCCAAAGAAAATGATGTATGTACAGGCAAGAACAGGAACTAAAGAGGCTAATAGGAAGGTGACAGTGAGGGGATGGGGCAGCTAGGAGGCGCCACAGCGCACAGTGTGCTGGGCCTAGAGTCAACAAGACTGGCCTTTCTGAGGTCAAATCTGGCCTCACACACTTCCTAGCTGTGTGACCTTAAGCAAGTCACTTAGCCTTGTTTGCCTCAGTTCCCTCATGTATAAAATGTACTGGAGAAGGAAACAGCAAACACTCCTGTATCTCTGTCAAGAAAACTCCAAATGGGGTCACAGAGAATCGGGCACAAGCGAAACAACCAAACAAGAAGTGAAGTGATAATAAGATAGCATGATGAATCGAAGTCACCTGCCCAAGAAGTAGTGGAAACAACTGGATTAGGAGTCAGGGAGGGATGGGAGGTCTCCAGTAGGGCATTCCAGGGATCTGTGTTTGGCCCTGCACCGTTTTAACCTTTTTAATCAACAGCCTGATAAAGGTATACGGTATCCTTATCAAATCTGTAGAAAAATCAACAGCCAAAAAGATCTTGCTAGGCTAGCATATTGGTACTGAATAGGATTAAATTTAATGAGGTTCAATCCATCAACAAGCATTTATTAGGCATCTACTACTTGCCAGGCACTATGACAGGAGCCTATAATATAAGTACAATAAATGAAAAAAATCCCCTCTCTCAAGCATATAGCCTGATGAATTTTAAATACAAAGACTTGTACTTCAGGTTGAACAAAAAGAAAAAGAAAAAACTCAAGGTGGCAGGGGCATAGTTAGACAACAGTTTGTCTGAAAAAGGTCTCGGAGTTTTAATAGTTGGCAAACTCAATATCAGTTAACAGTGTGATATGGCAACCAAAAACACTAATGCACTCCCAGGCTCTATTAAAAAAGGAATAGCTTCTAGAAAAAAAGTGATGGTCCTGCTGTAACAATCCACTGTGGTCAAGCCACACATATGTTTAGTTCTGAGCACCAAATTTTTAGAAGGGCACTGATGAACTGTAGGGCCAAGAGACCAGCAGAGTGGAGAAGGGCTTCAAATCCATGCCAAAAGGATAAGCTGAAGAACCTGGGGATTTTTAGTCTAGAAAAAAGGTTTGGGGTAGGGGAGACGGGACTTGCCAAGTATCTCCAAGTACCTGAGAGGCTTTCAAATAAAAGAAGAATTAGATTAATTCTGTTTGACACCAGAGAACAGAGGAAAGGGCAAAAAGTAGTCATTGAAAAGAGGCAAATTAGGACTGATGGTAGGAATATTTTCCTTCCAATTAGGACAATCCAACAGCGGAATGCATTGTTTCAGAAGTGATGGTTCTGAATCTCTCCATCACAAGATATCTTCAATAAAAGACTAGCTAACCACTTGTCAGGTGATTTTATTTCAGCTGCTTTGATGGCCTCCCAGGTCCTTTCCGATTCTTTAACTATGTGTAAATCACAATCTGAGGCTCAGTTTGCTTATCTCAAAATAGGAGTAATAACGCCTCCCACAAAGAGTTGTGGTGAGGATCAAATGAGAATGTGTATAAAGCACTTTATAAACATTAGAGAGCTATATAATTGTCACCTATTATTGCCTCCTGCTGGTGAAATACAACACATAGACAAGTATAAACATCATCATTTCAAGAAGGAAAAGAGTACTAGTTCAAGGAAGCCTTTGGGACGTGACAGCATGAACCCAGCCTTGAAGGAAGCCAGGGATCTCAACAGTAAGAACTGAGGACATTACAGCTAGGGGAAGAGAAGCAGCATTTATATAGCACCTACTATGTGCCAGGCACTGTGCTAAGCACATTTACAAATTTTCTCATTTGATCTTCACAACAGCCCTGTGAGGTAGGTGCTGTTATTATGCCTATTTTACAATTATAGAAAGTGAGGCAGACAGAAGTTAACCAGGGTCACACAACTAGTAAGTGTCTGAACTCTGGTATTCTGGATTCATGAGTCAGCTATATAGCCACAGGCCACCAGGTGCCTCTGAGGAAGGATGGAAAAGGCCAAGGATGAAGAACAAACGATACCAGGACAATAATGTGACATAAACCTGGAAAAGTAGGCTGGGGTCAAATTGTGAAGGATCCAAGTGGCAATAGGGAGCCAGGGGACTTTTTTTGGGCAGGAGTAACAAGACAAGGTTAAGAATATTTTAATAGCTATATTTCATATGAATTGAAGGGAAAGATTGAAAGCTGGGTACCCAATCAGGAAACTGTTGCAAAAGTCCAGGATAGAGAACAGACTGAATTAGGATGGTAGCCATGTAAACAAATAAAAGGGCAGAGATGCCAACTGATTGCATAGGGGGTATAAGGGAGAAGGAAGAAAGAGAGTAACTCCTGAGTTACCTCAGGCCTAGATGACTGCAACAGGCTTCTGGATGGCATCCCTGCATCCGTCTCAAGTCTTTCCCCTCTCCAGGATACCCTTCACTCAGCTGACAAATTGATCTTCCTAAAGCACAATTCTAACCACATTATTCCCCTATTCAATAAATTCCAGTGCCTCCCTAATTCCTCCAGGATCAAATATAAAATCCCATTAGGCTTTTAAAGTCTGTCATAAGCTGGCCCCTTCCTATCATTCTAAACTTCGTATACCTTACTGTCTTCCACATACTCTACAATCTGGCAACACAGGCCTCCTTGCTGTTCCCCACAAAAGCCACTCCAACTCAAACTAAGTGCTTTTCATTGGCTGTCTTCCCCATGCCTGATGCTGTCCCTCTTGGTCTCTCATCTAAAATTCAACCTTTCACAATAAGCATTTCCCAATCTGCCCCAATATTATTGCATCCTCTGATTTATTTATTGCATCTCTGATTTATCTAACCGTGCATCTCTTGTTGTACATAATTGCTTCATGTTGTCTTCTCCATCAGACAGCAACCCATGCTGTGGGCAGGAAATATTTTTGCCTTTCTTCTATCTTCACAGCGTAGCACTGTACAGGGCACATATTAGGTGCTTAATAAATGTTTATTAAGATTACAAAACTAAGAGACTAAAAGGATGGCAAAACCCTACACAGAAATGGAACTTTGGAGGACAATCAGATTTAGAGAGAAAGCTGAGTTCTATTTTGATATTTTGATTTCAAGATACTACCCAGACATGCAGTTGGAGATACCAACAGGCAGCTAGCAAAGTAGAGCTTGGGAGAGATAGAAGAGGTCTGAATACACAGAACTGGGAGTTATATGCATAGAGATAAAAAGTAAAACACTGGTAGCCAATGTGGGAATTTGTTTTGCTTAACTACGCATTTTGGTTACAAGGTTTTTGTTTTTCTGTTGTTTTTTTTCTTTTTTTCATCAGAGGAGGGAGAAGATGGCAGGGGAAAGATTGGCACTAGGGTGGTACCACCACCAAAAAAGAGAACAGAAAGGTGGCCAGAAGAAATCATAAACAGGACAGCTTTGAAAAGCTACTTGTTATATTTAGTATAGACTTTAAGATAAATGTTACTTTTATTTAACAAGAGGTTCTCAATTTCATGTACAATATTCTGCTATTCTCCAACGTACATGGAAAAGTGAACATGAGTCAGTCCCCGCCCTTAAGGAGCTTATAATCTAGCCCAGGAAAGATATGTATATATATAAGAAAAGCAAATCCTACATAACATTCAGCTTCATGTACAATCTTCTCTTTTCCTATAATGCTCATTTTAATTTGGTTTGCTATAATTCAGAATTTAAAAAATTGTAAAACATTTCCTGCCCTCATGGAGCTTATAATTTAGCCATGGAAGATATGTACATATATAAGTACGTACAAAACCAGGGATTTTAAGAGGTTAAAATTAAGAATGGAGTGAATTCCAGACCTAGGAAACAGACAATGCAAAGGTACAGAAGTGGAGGATCCTGTATGAGAAACAGTTTAAGAAAGCTAGTTTGATTGAAACATAGTCCACATGAAAGGAAACTAGGTACAACAGGGCTGGGAAAAGTGGGTTGGGCAAGGCTTTAAACACCAAACAGAGGAGTTCCTATCTGGTCCCTAAAGTAACAGGCAGCCCGTGGAGTTTATCAAATTGGGGAGTAAAAAAAAAATCAGTCCCATCTTTGCCTCATTTGATTTTCACAGAGTACTGTGAGGCAAGTACAACAGATAGTATCATCATCTCCACTTTACAGAGGAGGCAACTGAAGTTAAGAGAATATTTAAGTGCTGGAGAATGGATTTGAACCTAGCCACTCCCAAGTCGGAGTTGATACCTAAGGTGTAAAGAAATTGTTAGAAAGCCTCTAGCTGCCCTAGATATACCAAAGTCCTCTGGCCCAGATGAAAAACATCCTCATTATGAAAAACCACACAAATTCAATTTGGAGGCACCATTAGTGATTACTGAAAGTTCATGTCAAAAAGTGATGGTATAACATGTTGGAAAAAGACAAATGTTATTCCAATTCTCAAACAATGAAAAAGAACAGAGTCTGAAAATTATAGGCATGTAAACTTGGTTTTGAATCCTGAGAAAATTCTAGAACAGATCATTAAAGACATGATCAATGAACACGTAGGTGGGGAAGCAGTGACTACAAAGAGCCAGCAAAGTTCCATCAAGTACAGGTTACGCCAGAACACATTCACTTCATTTTCTTACAGGATTACTAAATTAGATGAGGGGACTGCTATGAACATAGTTTACCTATACTGTAGCCAATCTTTTGACAAAGTATCTTATACTACTCTAATGAAGATGAAGAGTCATGAATTAGACAGTATTACAATCAGATGAATTCAGAATTGGTTAGATGTTTGTGGACTCCTAAGAGTAGTTGGTAATGGTTCATTGTTGATCTGACAGGAGGACTCCGATAGAGGATTCCTGGGATCTGTGCCCTGAAATGTTTAACATTTTTTATCAATAACTTGAATAAGGGCATACATGCAAAAATATAATTATTAGTACTATTGCTAACATTTATATTAATGCTTACTATGTGACAGGCACTGTACTACGCACTTTACAAATATTATCTCATTTGATCCTCACAACAACCCTGGGAGGTAGGTGCTAGAATTATCATTCCCATTTTACAGATGAGGAAACTGAGGCAAACAGCGGTTAAGTGACTTGCCCGGGCCAAATCTGAATGCAAGTCTTCTTGACTCCAGGCCCAGCACTGCACCCAGTGCTCTCCCAGCATGCCTGTAAATAGCATATTTGTCACATTTGCAGGTAAGAGCTAGCAGGGAAAGGTAACATGGATGACAGAGTTGGAACCCAAAAGGAAGCTGACAGGCTAGAGCTTCAGACTGAATCCAACCAACGAAATTCAACAGGGATAACATATGTAGAGTTTTGCAAGTGAGTGTCAAAAAACCAACTTCATAAATATAAGACGAGGGAGAACATAATTAGCCAGCAGTTCGGGAAAAGATCCGGGAGTTTCAGCCGACTCAAAAAAGAGCTAATGCATTCTTGGGCTGAATTAACAGCACGGCTCCCAGGAACACAGAAGGTAGAGACCCACTGTACTCTACACTTATCAGACCTCATTTGGAGTACTGTGTTTATTTTTGGGTACCACACTTTAAGGACATTTGCAAGTTATTAAGTGTCCAAAGGAGGTCAGTGGAGAGAGTGCTGGGTTTGGAATCAGGAAGATCCGAGTTCAAATCCTGCCTCAGAGACTTACTGTGTGACTCTGGGCAAGTAGCTTAACCTCAGTCTGTCTCAGTTTCCTCAACCATAAAATGGGGATAACAATAAGCACCTGCCTTGCCAGGGTTGTTGTGAGAATCAGACGAGATAATATTTGTAAACGCTCAGCCCAGTGCCTGGCAAACGGTAGGTGCTGTATAAAATCTTGGCTAGTATTATTATTATTTTTATCCAGGACGGTGAAGGGCCTTGAGGCCATGGAACATCAGGGCTGTACAAGCTAAGGGTGCTGAGCCTGCTTAGAGGAAGGGGAGGGAGGTCACGACAGCTGGCCTCAAGCATTTGAAGAGCCGAGCCTTGTGTCTGGGCACGTGGAGCAGACTTGGCGAAACTCCCGACAGTGCGGCCGCTCCCAGAGGCAGGGGCTGCCCCGGAGGCCTGGTGGGGGTCAGGCGAAACGTGACCAGGAGAGTCCCTGCTGCCTGGCTCGGCCGGAGGATGTGCCCGGCGCCGGCCACCGCCCCGCACGGGGCCACGAGCGGGCGAGGCTGCTGCCCAGCCCCCGGGAAGGGCTTCGGTTTGGAGCGTGGTGGGAGCGTGGTGGGGCCCTGGTGGGCACAGAGGCCGACTCCTTCGTCTTAAAGAGGAGGAGACCGAGGTCCAGAGTGGTTCTCCCAGAGTCATCCTGCGCCCCCCCCAGCACCGCCCCCCGGCCTCGGGCACCTTTCGCTGCTGCTGCTTCCAGCGCACGAACATGAAGTGGCGCCGCTGCTTGTTCTTGATCTCCGAGATGCTGAAGCCCGGCGGGAAGGCCGCGGGCCGCGGCTGGGGCTGCGCCGGGGCCCCACTCTCCGTCGCCTCATCCTCGGGAGCCTCCCCAGGGGCCTCGGCCGGAACTCTCCGCTTCGCGCCCCGCCGGTCGTCACCTCCGCTGCCGGCTTCCCTGCTGCGCGCCATGCTTAGGCCTCCGGCCTGGGGGGTCCGACCGCGTGCGCTTCCGCTTCCGGCTCCAGCTGGCGTGCACTTCCGGGTCACCGACCTAGGTGCTGGGGCTTGGAAAAGAGAAGGGGGAGGAGGAGCAGGGTGGGGGAGGGGAAGGAAAGGGAGGGGAAAGGAGGCGGGGAAAGGAGGGGGAAAGGGGAGGGGAAAGGGGGAGGGGAGAAAGAAGGGGGAGGGGAGAAAGAAGAGGGAGGAGAGATTGAGTGGAGGGAGAGAAGAGAGGAAGAAAAGGGGGGAGAAGTGGAAAGAAGACGAAAGAGGAGAGAAATGAATAGTGAAGGGGAAGAGAGAGAGAGCTAGAAGGAGGGAGAGGGAGGAAGAGGGGAAGGTAGAGAGAGAGGGCTGAGGGAAGGGGAAGAAGGAGGAGGCAGAGAAGAGGGGTGGGAGGGGGAAAAGAGAGAATGGAAGATGGGAAATTAGGGAGAAGGACGAGAAGAATGGAGGGGGGCGGGAGGGAGGAGAGGGGAAAGGGAGAGGAGAATGGGGAGAAGAGAAGGGAGGGGGAGGATTCAGAGTGGGGAGGAAAGGGGAGGGGGAGGGGACAGAGGAGAGAAGGGAGGGAGGGCGAGAAAGGAGGGAAAGAGGGTTCGGGATAGGGAAGAGGAAGGAGTGAGGGAGAAAGGGAAGAGAAGGAGAAGGAAAGAGGGGAGAGGCAGAGGCAGAGAGAGGAGAGGGGCATGTTCTGAGTTTGGGATTCTGCCTCTGCTGTTTTGGGCAAGTCACAGCCTCCCTGCGGTCTTAAGTTTCCTCATTTATAGTAAAAGGAGTGATGGTCTAAATTCTAGCCTCCAGATTCTAGATATCCCGAAGGTTCACTTTCAACTCTAAATCTATGGTCCTGAGATCTCAGGCCATCTAGTCCAAAGTATATCCCAAAATCAAAAAAATTTTTTTTTAAAAATCAATAGCCGTTTATGGTAGGCACTGAGGATTCAAAGACAAAACGGAATTGTCTCTATCTTCTAAGTCTTTCTAATATAGCTTCAACCTCTGTGACACATTCCATAGTCCAACCAAAATCTTCTACTTGCCATTTCCCAAATATGGCATTCTTCTAAATTAGACTATAAACACCTTAAAGTTAGGGAATGTGTCTTTGTCTTCCAGATCTCTGACCATTCCTAACCAGTTAGTACCCTCTTTATGTTAATTTGGGTGTTAGTTGAATGAATGAATGAATTTCTAAAAGCTTTCTGCTGACGAAGCTAGAGATCATTGAACTTACTCCTCAATTGGAGGTCCTTTCTAGCCATTTGAATCATTTTCATTTTTTTCTGCTAATTGCATTTTCTCTTACATTTCCAGCACTCAAGGTATATCCTAGAAATCCCCCCCCCCAAAAAAAAGAATCTTTGAGACAGCATTAACTATATATCTTTGGGTTTAGATTCAGGAAAGACCAGGGTGGGAAAGTCAGGTGACTTCATTTCCCTGAACTCAATTTCCTCACCTGCCAATTAAAGCTCTTATAAACGTAAAGCTGGAAGTGACCTTAGAGGTCATTTAGTACTCTCAAACAGAAATGAGGACTCACTAATCTGTACATAGGAATCCCTGCAGGCAACATATTGACTTAGATTTCAAATGTAGTGTTAACTGTGTTTTATTGTATTTTTATTTATTTTGTTAAATATTTCCCAATTAGATTTTAATCTGGTTCTGGCTGCTCTAGAGAGTGTAGAGTAGCCCTCTGCAGTATGTTTGACACCTCTGATTAGTATAACCCTTTCATTTTATAGAAAACACTGAGGCTGAAAGGTGAAGTCACTTACCCGTGATCACACAGGTACTAAGTGCTACAGTACGGATTCAAACCCAAGTCCCCTAACACTAGATTTCAGTGCTCTTTCTATTGTACCATACAGATTCCAAGATAATGTCTGTAGGTCTCATGGGCTCCTCACTTTTTGTTTCATGAATCTCCACCCTTTAGCAGCCTGATGAGGTCTGTGGACCCCTTCTCAAAATTATGTTGTTAAATGCATAAAATGAAATACAGAGGATCCCAAAGGAAATCTATTATATCCAAATACATTCTATAGACAGGAAGACTTCCCCCTCATGATGATTCAGCCCTGGGTCTAATAAGTACACTAATTTCAGAATAGTAATGAGTGTAAATGATGTTCTGAGATATCTGCAACACCTATAAGATGACACAAAAATATATGTGATTTTTATTGGTGACAAAGATTAAAATACTGCTAATACAGCTGGTATGTTGCCTATATCCATAATTGAAGGAAATGCTAACTTTCAGTTAGAAGTTAGTGAAAATAAAGATGTGACTTTTTGCCATCCAAGAGACTGACTCCCAGAAATCTATCCACAGACTCCAGATTAAGAGCCCCTGCCATAGAACATGCCTTGTAGGGTTGTTGTGGAGTCCAAACACTAGCTACTCTTACAGTCTCTGCCTGTTTACTTTACCTGACCTTTTGGGGGCTCTGGAAGCCATCAAATAAGTTCCACAGTGTTAGTACAAACAAGTTTCTGACCTAGATCTGCTTCAGAAAATTTGATCCATTAGTGCCTGGAGTGTGTTCCTAACTGCCACAGAATAATTCTAAAGACACAGGATGAATCCTTTTCACGGGAATCAGGGTTAAGCAATTTTTATGTTGGCAGGTTTACTGATTCACAAGCAACATAATGATAAATGTAGCTTTTGTCTAACTCTTTAAAATGTCAGGAAGCAGCAGAAGATTGAATTGCGCCATATAGTTTATTGACTACAATTACAAGAGTTAGCCCAATTGATCTATGATGTGTTCCCTGGAGGTATATTTCCTGAGCTTCTGTTAGTAGCAATAGTGGAAAGGGCTGCGCTTACAATTGGGAGACCTGGATTTGAGTCCTGCTTCTGGTAACCTGACCCTAGAAAAGTCACTTAACCTCTCTGAGGAAACCTGTTTCCTCATTTGTGAAATTCTGATAATAATACTATCAGCCTCAGTTTGTTGTTGTTGTTGTTTTTTTAATGTGTGAGTAAAGCACTTTGTAATCTCAAAGTGTTATGTAAATGTTAGTTATTGTCATTATTATGTATGTAAGTTATCACTATTATTATTATTACCTGGAATTCCTGTATGTTAGGGGTCCAAAGACCTGGAGTCTGCAGATCTCAGAGAGGTCAGTGAGTAGATTTTAGAGGGTCTATGAATTTTTAAAAATATTTTGATAACTATTTTAATATAATTGACTTCCTTTGAAATCCTATGTGTTTTATGTTCTGCATTTAAAAAATTATTCTGAGAAGGGGTCCATAGGTTTCAGCAGACTGCCAAAGGAGTCCATGACCCCCCAAAAGTTTTAAAGAACCCTTTTCTCTAAGGAATTCTTGAGGGCTGTCATTTTATTTTCAAAACCTTGAAGAAGGCTTTTTGGCTTAGGATATGAGAACAGTTTAATTTAGTAGATCAAAGGATTACAGGATCTTAGTTTTTAAAAGGGAATTTAGGAATCATCTAGTCTAACACCCAGATGAGGAAACCAAGGCTGAATGAGAAATTCAAAGCCATACAACTAGTTAGGGACAGAGTCAGGATTTAAACCTAGATCTTCTCATGCTGAATCTAATATTCTTTCTGATGGGGTGTATGGGGAGCTCAAGGAAAACTAACATGTCTGATGTTAGGGTTTGCTGAGCCCTTGTAAGGGCTGCTCATCCACCTTTGGTGTCTACCTGGCACTCAACTCTCATTTGTGGCTTCAAGAAGCTCTAGCATGTTCAGTAGCCACACCCCAGTAAACTGTCTCAGCAGATGGGCTAAATCAGGTTAAAGGTAACTCACATGCTTCAATCCTTTTGGTGAGTTAGGGAGGTGTCTACCCCAAGTATGTGAAGATTTTCCCTGGCAGAATGGGTGAATGAGAACAATTTGTTTCATTGGCCATGAAGGTGACTGAAGCAGGCATTGTGGAAAGCTTAGACTTTGGTCAGACATAGAAAACACCAAAGTCATCTGCTGCACCCTGGACCATCACTGGTCATCTTGATTTTTGTCTTACCACTGGACTTCAGAGACTCTGGAAGAGAGAGTGAGGCTGACGACTTTGTGCAACTCTGCCGTAATTGAATCCAATTCACATATGAGTCAAGATGTCATCCATGATGTCATTCCTATTAAAAAATGAAGGACACAACAACTCTGCTACACAGTAAGTTTGGTTTCTTAGATCTTTCTTAGGAAATAACTTTTTAAAAAAAGCTCTCCTCAGATATTCAAGTGCCAATAACAACCTCAGAAAGAGAATGAAGATAAGAATTTATATCAATTTTAATTGTTAGGAAGTTTTTCATTCCATCAACTCTAATGTTGCTTCTTTTCAATTTCTATTCATTGCTCGAAATTCTGACTTTTAGAGCTAAGCAAGGTAAATCTAAACTCTTTTCTGTGTGGCTGACCTTTCACATGCTGAAGATGGCTCTCATGCTAGCCCTCTCCATTCCTAAGGCTTCTCTTTTCCAGGTTAAACGTCACCTAAACATTCCTTCAACCAATCCTCATATGTCATGATGGCATGACCTCACGGCCCTTTACTATCCTGGTTACCTTTTTTAAATGTTCTCAGCTTATGAATGTTCTCCCTAAAATGTGGTACCCCCAAATAAACCTATTACTGCAGCTATGGGCTGACTTGGGCAGTGTACAGCAGGACAATTACTTTCCCAGTCTTGGAAACTACCAATGTCTCTTAAGGATACCTAAAATCACACTAGCTTTGGGGGCTGCCATACTGAATTGTTGACTTAGCTTGAATTTAGATGAAATGGTGCTTATTCATATGGATCCCATCTTCATAGAATCCTAGATTTCAAGGTGGAAGGGGCCTTAGAAGTCTAGACAAGGCTTTATTTTATAAACAATTGCCATAGGTCTCCTTAGCCGATTTCATTGCTATCATCAATAAAAGCCAGACCACTTCATTGGATTTTCCTTGAGGGAAACAGTATCCTTCCCACTAATTGGGGGGGAAATTATATTTGTAGTGGCAGATGGAAGACA